TGAATCTTATTCTTTGTATCAACAGTGATCCATATCTTGTGATGGTGCTTCTTGTGGCCTAGGACCTCGTCACATGCTGAACTTAGGGCTTCCTTAGGCCCCTTCCAGTTGTTCTCCACGGTAGTTTTCTTTAAATTGAGTAGATCGTGAAAGGCCTGGAACTTGTTATTGAGAGCTGCCTTGAATTCGTAGAGTTAGTCAGTATCCCGAAGAAATGTTGTATCACACTTTGGTGATGCGGTTCACCCGGTTGTCCAGTGCTTCCTCAGTTTCCGTTTCGTTTTGACTGTTACCAAGTAATGACCTGAAGCAATGTCAGCTCCTCTCTTTATTCCCATGTCTTCCATAGATCTTCATAATTATTGATCGGTGTGGTTGTGACCGAGCTAGTTCTCTTCATTATGGTCTGGTGAAGCTGGCGTATTTCTTTGTATACGTTGCTGCGGTAATGTGATTCCACCTGCAACAGTTTTGTTGCAGTCACATAGATTTGCGAATTCTTTGTCATTTTCATCCCTTCATCCTAGTACATGTCGTCATAATATGCATGTGTTTCCCGTGTTCTTCATTACAACCTCGACGTTTAGGTCTCTCGTCAGGATGATTAAGTCTTTTGCTGAGCATCTATTTACGATCGACTGCAGCCTCTCATTTAATCGATCTTTATTGTCTTCATTGTTATAGTCATCTTTCGATTTTTGGAGCAACATGAAAGGTCCTTACGGTCTCCGAAATTGTGGGAGCCTTCTATGTACCTTAATTAATGGTTGCTCTGGTTGTCAAAAGTGGCAGCACCCCGTGACTTCAGAAGAAAGTCAGCTTTCATCATGGAACATCATAGTTTTCATAGACGCTCTGCAGTTGGAATCCGCACTCTCATAGTTCAACATTTAGAGGCTCCAGAACATTCCATACAACCAAAATGGTGAATTTATATTTCACTACTAGGTCAATATGGAGAGTATTTCCAAGAAATATTTACGGCCCCGTCAATATATAATTTTCATACGTCTTTCCTCATCACATAGAGATAAATGTTTTTCATTGTAATAACTGTAATAACAAAAATAAATATTTTACGTTTTAGTATCAATTTACTGTGTTCTGCTAGCTGTCAGTGAAACTTGCGTACATTTAGCGGTTGATGAATAATATTTAGATTGTAAGTGACATGGTTATCATCCTCACTAAATATCCTAGTTATCATAAAATAAACAAAATGGTTTATACTTTCACCGGGTTATAAATATTTATCGTAATATTTTCACTAGGTGTGTTTTACTATCTGCGTAGATAATCTAATATATTTAAGACTATTCTATGTGAGATCGCTGCCTTATTAAGATATAACAAACATTCATAGTGTTATTACTGAGGTTAATACTGAATAAAAGTACTTCAAATAAATTACAGCTAATTTTTCACAATGCACGTGCTATTATCTAGCATATTCACTGTCACTAAAGTACAACAACAGGAGAAAGACAGTCTTCCATTAGACGTTTTAATTCTCTTAAATCCTAGTTAACTCTCCTATTTGCTGCTAATCTGGATATATGAGACAATTAAATTTGTTCAGTTAACTCAGTAGTTATTCTTTTTAATATGATAGTATGTTGGTTGTTGAATTGAGTTCACAGTGATCGTTCATTACATTACCTGGTTTACTGAATTTATCATTATTTTCTAAAGTAATTGGACCTGTTTCAAATTTTAAATTTAATTTGGTATAGTGATGAGTAAAAAATTAAAACTTCATATTCAATAAATGTGCTATCTTAATAATAACCATTTCTGGTAATAATAGTATAATACTATATATAGATAGTATAGTATATATAGTATATAATATAACAAAGGTAAAATTATAGTTAACCAACTGCTGTTAACATTTTCTACTGGGTTTGATCGGGTTTCAGTAGACCTTACTTCTTAAAATACAGTTTATTGTTATATGACCTTAGCTAATAAAATCATCGTCTACTTTCAATAGACTGAGGAATCACGAATAAATAAATTATTCAATATTAGTGAAACGACTACCAGAAAATTTGTGAACAAGCAAATCTAAAATCAATAAAGTCATAAAAACTGCATATCCAACGACAATTAAATGATTCTCATGGAATTCAACTCATCAAATCTTATAAATAAATGACTTGAATTGAAAAAACTGTTCCCATGGGCAAACTAATCACATATTAAGATTTAAACCAATCATTGTTTTTATTCATACTTATGCCCAAACCCTCAGAACTTGTCAGTAGGTGTACTAAACAACCTATATTCGGTTTAATGTCACCTGACTCTTCTGTACACAGAGGTCGGGTTTGAATTGATGAAATGATATAGTTTCAGCTGTAAACAAATTCCTTATCCAAACCTTTTATGACCCGTCTTGTTTTATCTTATATAGGTTTTTAGAAGATAAATTACACAGTGAGTTGTGATCTCAGTTGACCATATGTTCAAGGATTGAGATTCTGAGTGATTTGCACTCTGCTTTGGATAGCCAAGCAGGATAGTGCTAGGATAGGAAATGCAAATAGTTTCTGTGAGCGGGATATTCGTGAGACGATATCTTGAAAACTGACATTGGTTATTGAGTACACGAAATCGAAAGAGTGTAGAATATTATGTTTGTAAACTTGATACGAGATCCTAACATTTGTCACCACTCGATTACGTTTATTTTAGAGGTGGAGTTGAATTCTGAATTCTATTTACTTGATGTTCTATTAAAATGAATACCAGATGGTGCTCTACAGTGATCGTTGTACAGAAAGCCAAATTGGAGCCGGCATTGTACGAACTTTCAAAGTCGGGTGCTGTTGAATAATAAGGAAAACTTAATTCACGCTCTATCCTCAAGAGGAAAAAGAAAATGTAACGAAGACATATCAGATGATGAGCTGAATATAATACAACAAACACTTCTGGAGAAAGTGTTCAATTTTGCTACACTTGAAACATTTCTCATGATAAAATACACATGAATTACGTGAGTGAAGCTTACTACGTGATTAACGTTTAGTGAAAGTAAGCTCACCTTAGCAAGCTACTTTGTACTTATTTGGTGAATTGTTTCTCATATTTTCACGGGAAAATGAGCTATTTATTAATTAAAGATGAACTTGGGTGACCTTACAAATACAGTTCATCATGATGACTAAACGAATTAGTGGAACTGTGCACTAAATGAAAATCAAGTTCACTAACCACGTCATGGTCAATACATGCTGTTTTGATTTCTTGTAATGAAATCATAGGATTTTTATTTAGTCAAATTCGAAATTTTAGTCTCAGTGACCAACCAATCATGAATTTGGATTTAGAAATGGTCTCCGAAATTGCAGTTGGTGTCCTGCATTTTTAGTTCAATTATGAAGTCTATAACTTGATGCTTTATCATTCTAGTAAATTTGAATCTCTCTCTGCACTGAAAGCTGGCATACTGTACGTAAATCATTAGTAATTCCTTGAGAGTTTCATATGACAATAAGTTTAGTTCTTCAAGAAAAGTTAGGTCCATGAGCAGGTTACACGCATCTTAATCAGTGAATATCAGAAAAGTGACTAAGACCATTTCATGTTCAGTATCTTTTCTGATGGTGCTTCAGATTTCAGATTGCTCCTTGTAACCTTCAAAGATCTTCCCACTCGAATAAATATCCAACTTTGCGAGAACTGCCCTATTGCCAGTGTGATAACTGATAATGATAGTCAGTATGCATACGAGTGCTATATATAGCAGTATCAAAATCAAGTAGAATACAGTGAGTAGAATTGGGAATAATGTGCTTGGAAATCGAATCAGCAGTGGAAGTCATAAATAAAATGAAGTACCAACTGGCACAGATACCACATTTCCATTTTATAGGCCAAATACATAATGTTAATTCACGATTATTTCATGAAATGGGTTTTCAGCAATCATATGGGGCACTAAATGAACTTGTTTAAACAGTCACTGAGGGGTTTCACAGGCCCAACAAAACCTTACAGGCTTTCTTGGCCTTATCCATAAAATAAAGCAAGAAATATGGTAATCTTTGCTAGTTATAATGAACCTTCAAAGTAACAGTTCTGCATTAAAAGATCCCATTTATACGCTTGGTAAATCACTCTCTCGCTATCGAGGGTATTAGTGACTTAGATGTGTCTTCACTATTAAGGGTATTTAGTGATTTTGACTCCAGGAGAACATTTGGTTCGCTGACGTCTTTTTTCTGAATACACTTATGAATTTTTTTAAACTTGGTTTACTTCATTATCCGAGGTTTTTTCCAAAGATCCACCAGAATAACCAACATTTCTGCATGTTAGAACGATGATGTGAGGGTAAGCCAGAAGGGATTTACCGTGCAACAAGAAAGAAATCTTCGATTTTATCTTCTTCGTCAGCCAGTGTAACTCTAACTGACTTATTTTTTCTTAATGCGGGTATCCCAGCACAAATTATCCAGTAAGTCAAAGTCTATTGTCCAGTAATTTAAAATTAAACTGAAAATATTCAGTAATTCTAGACAATAATATCAACATCAAGAAAATAGCTTAGTTGAATAAATTGCAGTAAAATTAGAAGGTATTTAGTTGTTCACATCGCTTCTTAATAAAGTAAAATTCCAAAACATTTGGTATTCTTCCAATAGGTACTTCGTAATAAATTTGAGTCTGTTTGACTTTGAAAATTGAACTAATCAAACTATTTTTTGTATTGCAAATACAGTAATTTGAACATTTATCTCTGTGAGTTGTGCGAAACATGCTTAAAATACTTATTCGATTCTAAATCTTATTTGTCAAACATATAGGAAGTAAAGAAAATTCGGTAAATCATTTTATTTGAATTTATCAGTTGGCTTAAATCGAATCATAACATGGTAGAGAGGGATGGAAGAAACAAGACAGACATGTGTTATAATCATGACACACAGCTTGCAAAGAAAAATGTTGGCAGTTTAAGACTTAAATCAGGAGAAAAGGAAATTAATACAACTAAAATACGTAGTGAAGATTTATTGCATTTATTATTATGACCAAAGAAGAAGCAACATCTCGGCTAACTAGAAGTATATTTCACACAATTTATGTGAAGTTTACACAAGCCCGTATAAAACTATATGGATGGCGTCATTTAGGATGGTTGGTTTTGTTAGTTGCTGCACTGAATGTTGTTTGTATAGGAGGCAAAAGAAGGGCATTCGGAATATTTATTGCTGCTCTACATAAAGCCTATAATGACACAAGCATGACAGAATTGAATTGGGTTGGTGATAGTTATGCTGCAGTTGGATTCTTTTTAATGCCTTTCGCCACAACAGCGATAATTCGACTGAATCGGCCATATCGATGTACCATGCTTCTAGCAGGTTTATTAATTTTTATCAGTTGTATGACATCGGCAGCAGTACCTAGCCCAGGTTATCTATTCTTGACTCATACAGTCATACATGGCATCGGCTCTACACTTATTTTATGCGGCACAAGTCTTGTAACAGGAGAGTATTTTGATAAATCGCATCGATACCATGTTTTAGCAACTGCGTTTGTTTCTGGTGGACCTTATGGTGTACTGATATTTGGTCCATTGTATTCAAATTTGATACAAAGCTACGGTTGGCGAGTGGCGTTTCAATTAAGTGGATTACTTTTCCTTTTCGTTACATGTTTAGCCGGAATTATTTTTATTTCACGGGATACGTTTGAATACAACCAGACTTTATGGGAGCTTTCTGATACATCTGAAGAAAGTGCCGTGAACAAATTCTTACAAAAGGACTCTTTATTACAGCATAATTCACCGAAAGCCAGTGATGGACGTGGCTGGGCCTTTTGTTCTATTGAACATCTGAAAAATAATCCGCAAGTATTTATCTGGGGATTTGAACGCTTACTTCATAATCTTGTAATATATGGTTTACTGATGAATATGACAGCTTACGTGAGTCAAGCATTAAATGATCAATTAGTATTGGGTGCACGTGTTAACTTATACTTTGGTATTGGGGAATCAGTTGTATTTACAATTGGTGCTTTAATCGGTGATCGTATTAGAGGTTATTTAGCATTTGCCTATTTTATTGGAGCATTATTTGCAGCATTGTTTCTAGTTATTATGCAAAATACATATGAAGATATAAATGTAGTCTATGTGTTGGCTGGATTTGCTGGTGCTACTGTCGGTGTTGGCAATACATTTCTATATGCTACGTCAGAAGAGATAATGATGGTTCATGGGTCGATTGCATTTCCTATGACAAAAATGATTGCTGGTATTGGTATGCTATTAGCACCATTATTCTCTGGTGCAGTTATAGATGGCTTTGGATATGGTGGATTTTTTATTAGTATGGCAATTCTGGTGTCAATTAGAGTTATTCTCCTGGGTTTTATATGTTATATATTACATCTTAAGAAAATGTTGATTTTAACTGGTAAAAAAGAATATGTGCCTACAAATGATAGTGATGCGAATCATTGTTGTCGTAATATTCATAAACCATGCAGTGAAAAATTTACAGATATGAATAAAACTGATAATGTAGCATCTGACAATACTAATGTATTATTATATTCGGATTCAACAGAACATGATTTAGAAAAACGTATACAAGTTTCGTCTGAATGGTATCATGAAAATGATCACAGAATACCATAAATTTATATACATAATAAAATTGTATAATTCAAACACTAAAGCATAAAGCCGCTGGAATAAACGAAAATTAATCAAAACCTTTCAGAGTAAGTGACGCTTATTTATAATGTGGATTCTATTGGAAATTCCAAGTAAAATAATGTTATTTTATTTTATTTCCACAATCTTAATGCAATTCTTATGCATCCTGATGATATGTTTCATAAAGTTTTCGAAAAAAAACTATTTCTTGATGATTGTTAAACAATTTTACATTTAAAAAATATTAATACTACACATTTGAAAACTGTTTGAAATCAATATTCATAAAAGATAAATTCAGTGTTGGTTATTGTGAGCTAAAATAAATCTCAGTCGCTATACAGTAAGTATAGTGACTGCAATGAAACTTGCGTGTTGCAAATTCATTTCTTTATGGGGCTAGGGGTGCATAGTGTTAAGATGCCAACAACCAGGACAAAACAGCTTAAATGTCTTGTTTTATTAAAATAGGAAATTCCCTTGGATTCCTGATTTGATAAGAACTACTTATAAGTTATTTAATCGTTACAGTTGTTAAACAAATTTTCAGCTCATTATCTTTCCCATGCCATGCTTTTTATATAATCATGATTTATCAATAAAGAATCGCTTTCTGTTACTTCTGGTATTCGAACTTTGAATATTTTCAATGGTTCTCATTACTTAGAGGTGCTATTTAGGATTTTCTACCATGAAATCAATCACTCCAGAATCAAGTGCTTGCCAATTATACTATGTAGTCGCCTTTTTAGGCATTGGCGAGTTTTAGAAGTTACAAGGATTTAAAACCTCAATATCAGCAAACGATATTTGTAAGTGGTTATTTATAGTAGGTTTTAGCTATCTGAGAATTATTAGGTATACGAATACTGACAAAAGCATAACCATTTATTTAAAGTGTAAGTGGAAATTTTTTTATTGATAGCAAATCTTTAATTGAACATTTCATGAAATTACTCTCTGTCTGTAAAAAAAAACAAAACCATGTAGAATTTAGTCAGCATGTCATGATTCAAACGGAAAAGTTTTAAAAAAGTTAATGAAAATGTGAAAAAATGTTTTTTTTTTTAATTGAATCGGTTGATAATATTGTGTAATAGGACATGATTTCACAAAATACCAGTCAAAAACACTTGATGATTTGTTGTCACGTCAGATCGAAGTTGAATTGTAGCAGTTGACTTTACAATTGATCCAGTCTAATAGAAAAAATAACAATAAAACCAAATGCTAAAGAATAAAACAATATGAATTCGAAAGAAGAAGAGATGCTAAAGTTTTTTCAGGGCCTTGCACTTGCTAAAAAGAAAACTTAGTTTTCTTTTTATACTGAGTGAACGATATTTGTATTACGCATTATAATGAGCATTTATGTAATATATATTCGAAATGTAGAAGACAAATGCTTATTGTCAGATAGTGTGTTTTATATACATGATGCCATAACTTTCTATGGCGATCAAGGAACCAGCTTCTCTTATATTTCAGGTAAACAAATAAGCAATGTAGTATGCTAAAACTTATAATAGTGTCGACCAGTCTGTTTTGCAATAGTCATTATCTATAATAATAATAATACTTATATGAACTACTCAGAAATGAAGTTGAGAGGGGTAAAAGTATAGTATTATTGATATTTGCAGTCTATGGTCACATCTATCAGGTAGTTATATTTTAGTTTCCCACTATGGGCTTACAGATTTGAAGAGGTAAAAGCTGGAAAACTATGAATAAATAGAACAAGGCGATCAATCATCAAAAATTGCATTTCTACACTAACACAGTTTGTTATTTGATAGAGAGTAATATTTTCTCTAACAAGCTAGTGAACTTAGCAGTTAATAATTTTTTATTTCACAAGCAGACCCAATAAATTTTACTCACTCAAAAGAAACCATTTTTATAGTTGCAACATGTTTCGAAGTCCTAAGGATAGCCAGTCATCATTAAAGCTAAACGGTATTCAAGGAAATGTATATGTATACATATATGTTCCACAGAACGTATAAATTCAATGAAGAAATCATAACAAAAATAAAGATTTAGTCAATGTTGAAATCAATTTTAATTAGTATGAATCTTAGTTATCGGTAACGTACTCTCACATCTGGATTAGGAGTCCAAGTAAATGCAATTGGTTGTTCAGTTCCTGGTTCTAAAATCAACTGAATGTAGAATATTTTGAAAAATAAAAAAAATAAAAAAATAAAAACCAAATAACTAACTAAATAACTATTAAGAATTTTTTTGAGTTTAAGTTTTATCTAAAACATAACAACAGACAACATGTAACAAAATGATTATTTGTACAAAGAAAATTATAGAAAATGACATAGAGACGCTAGAATTTCTTGATTTCACAAAGAAAATCTTTAAGAATTATCAAGAAAAATGATAAAAGCAACATCCTGGTCAATCAACAAATAGAGTTTTTTTAAAAAAAGTATCAATTCAATATCAAAACTTGACGTGAAAATGATTTTCACCTGAAATTACAAAATTAGTTTTTTATTCCGAGTGAATGGGAAATATTTTGTTTTCACAGTTAAAATGATAAAATACTACTTACTTTTGTTGGACTAATAGTAAATCCAAGAGCGGATAATTCATTTACATTTTCTATTGTGCATTCACCATTCTAATAATTTAAACAATTGTTTAAATTTTGAAAAAAATACATTTACATGCGATTAAACAAAAAGGTTATTATTAATAAAAAAATTGTCGGTTGTGGTGGTGTTTGGTTCTCTGAGCTGTGGAGCTTTCATTGTTCTTTTGAACAACATCATCCACACAAACTTCACATAGAAGTGAAGCATTGGAATTTCTCCGCGTTTGACCTGTAGCAGCAGTCAGTCAAGATCGAGGTTAGCAGAACAAGCTTCCAGTCAAACGTGGAGAAATTCGAATACTTCACTTCTATCTGAGGTTTGTGTGGATGGTTTTGTTCAAAAGAACAATGAAAGCTCCACAACAAAAACAACCAGCTCAGAGAACCAAACACCACCACCACAATCATCCACCTGAGCTACAAATTTTCTCCACCATCTCAAAATTGTCGATAAATGTCACTTTCACTTTAATGTTACATAATTACAGAATGGTTCTCTGAATACCATTTGAAAGGAAACTTAAAAGTGCTCGATGCTCTATAGTTTGTTAACTGTTATCTTAAATTTCACAGAAAAAATTATGAAGATTAACAGAGCTTAATCTTTCCAAATTATATAAAATCTTCTTTAGCATATTTCAGTATGTAATAAAAGCTGATTTCAAAGGGAAAAAATATATATGATTAAGTATGCTCTGATGTTGTTTTGGAATCACACAAAGCGATTTACTACTTTCAAATCATGCAGCGTAGAAAACACAACAATACCAAAAAACATTGATTGCCTTATTTCAGCTATCTAGGTAATAAGTACAGTTATGAAACAAATCAAAAGATTAAATATAGTGAAGTTGAGTTTGTATCAAAATCAACTTCAACTTATGGCTTGTTTCATTGGGGTATATAACCTGATTATCTAAGATAAAAGCAGTTTGATTATCTGATAAAGTGAGGATTGAAAATTATAAAACTTTTAATGATTAAGCATTGATTACAGCTCAAACATTATCTGAGGTTTATCTTTATTCATGGCAAAATGTTATCTGTTTGTCATTTTAAGAAAATTCACATGGCAACTTTATTCTGTTTTGCCATACGTTATTGGTATCATACAAAATTTCCCTACGATCTATATCGTTTGCTTGTTTAACTTAAGTTATTTATTTTTGATGAATTGTACTTTTCACTGGTCGACAGGCTTTTCATTATGCTGTTAAAATAGATACGCGCTTCTAAAACTTTTTAGAGACCGTGTCAGTAAACAATCAGAATAACCTGTGAATAACCTTGTTTGAAATATTTTACTGAATTCAAACAAAACGAGGAATATGGCGGAAACTGTTTGTAGTTAGTTCATAAATTTTATGATCCAATTTGACTGAAATGTAAACATTTCTTTTTTTAGTAATACAATATAGGCTATGAACTGGTTTCAAAAGACATTATTTGAGTGTGATATAACTAATACAAAAAAAATAAATCAAATACTAACCTTTTTTGCACCACTACTTGAAGAATGAACATAACCAACGTATAAAAGTCTTTTAGTAGAAGTTTCTTTATGCTTTGTTTCTTTTTTGGTAAGTTGATTATCTGCATCCTCCTTTTCAATTGGTTCTATTTCACTGTTTGCATTCGAATCCTCTCTTACTAAACAGGATTGTTGACCATTTATTGTTAGATAGGAAGTTGTTTCTGGATTATGGAGAAAAAAATATATGTGCATTATTCTGAACTGAATTCACAGTGAAGAATGAAATTAAGACTATCAAATTTTTTGGAGTATTTAATAATGCTGATGAGTTAAAAAAGTTTATTTGTAGAAGTTGAGTTAATCATTTATGGTCAGAAAACGGTAGAATTTGCTAAATACTATGAATTTATCGTGTTTTATTACTATCGACCCAGCTAAATGCACGGAGATATAGTTAAGCTAATTCTTTGTAATAAAGACGCGAATCCATAGTTTGTTAAGAAAGTTGAATTTTTGTAAGCGATATTTTAAAACATTTGTCAGTGTTTAGCAGATTATATGATATAATTTATTTCTGAAGTTCACACAGCGTTATGGCGCATTAGAGAACTGTAAGTTTTCAAGAGTGTATAGTTCTTTATGAGAATCAGAATCTGTATCATCAACCTAATTAGTTTGCGTAATTCCCATTTTTATTTAAACTTATAGTTTTTTATAAATAATCTCAGCTAACCAAATGGTCTAGTATGGTGAAGAGCGGGTCTACTTTCTCTCTTGAAACGTTCACATATATGTAAGTATTTTCAGCCTATGGCAGGGAAACCCTACTTAAAGTGTGTTCAAACGGCGGGGATAATTTTTTAGAAAACAGGAGGATTTCTGACGCCTAAATTAGTTAGGTGGACATAAATAATCCAATTCAATGAGCTGGAAAACTTTGATACCAAACTAATAGTGTGGGTGAGGTTCAGAGCTCCCAGAATACGAATAAAGTATATCTATTTTGACTGCCTGTTACTATGAACCTAGATTACTTGGAGCTGCTTTATTATCTTGAAAACTAAACAGTAGGTTCAAAAGCTTGGAGAATAGCTCTTTGAGAAGTTCACTGGCTATCTTTTAGAAGACAGAGTGTTATTCCACGATGTACAAATATTAACAATAAGCAGTTAGATTTTTATTTGCAGAAAGTTTATTAATGATTGGTAATGAAAACTTACTGGATTCTTTTGTTTCCGTTAATAATTGTACACCGAGAAAATCATTTTGTACATTTGTACAAAGTATATCATTCGTACTGTCCAATCGGTCACCACCACGGATATACAAGTTATGTTGTTTACAGGCCCCATTAAGAACTAATTTATGTGAGTTATATATCTAATTGTAAAGAATGAAAGCATTTTAAATTATCTCTTCGCATAAAGTAATAATAAAATCAGTTTATATTTGTATGATTTTTGAATAAATAAATTTGCCGTTTAAGAATTCCCACAATATTTAAACATAGATATGTATCATCCATGATTGATTGATGATTTCAATGTGTAAAAACACTAATCTGCCTAACTTTAATTGAAAAAATCGTAAAATGTGCTCACTAGTGACTAGTTTCTGGAAGACGTGACCAGTGGAGTTCAACCCTGTCGGGTGTGGGCAGTAACTAACAAAGATAGATAGTTGAAGTCGCGCAAAATATCTAGATTAATCAACGTTAGACATTAACACCGTTGGATGACCGACCAGTGGTTCACAGTTTAGACGTTCGCGCGCAAGACCAAAGGCCCTGGTTCTGAATCCTGTAAGTAGCAGGAGTCGTGGGTGCGCACGGCTAATGAGTCCCATACTAGGATGAAACGGCGTTCATGTGCTTCCAGGTTACTAATGGTAGTCTGACAATGAATGACTGATGATTTCAATTTGTAAAAACACTCATCTCCATAACTCTAATTGAAAAATTAGATATGTATAAGGAATATAATTTTCAATAAATTTTCATCAGGTTCTACACTGAAAATTCTAAATCTATGGTCGAAAAGAAATTAGTTAAGTACCGGATAAACAGACTTTTGAAAAGTGAAGCATGTGTTACCACTGTTTTTTTCTAATTTCAATATGACAGTCACAGTTAACCTACAAGCTGATTATAGTACTTATCAATCGTGAATAAATTAAATATCAACAGACTTTCGTAAACTTTAGAGCATAATAAATATAAAAATGTAATCTTTTTTGAATTTCTACTTAATCTATGAACTTGTTTATTTTTACTTGTAATTTAAAATGAATGAACACTGTCATCGTTCTGGAGTAACGAAATATATTTACTTTACTTTAAAATCACTCACTTGACATAAGTAATCATGAGAATGTTTCGCAAATTACAATGATGTCACAACTGATGTTATAAACTCGGAATCGCTACAATAACATTGTAGTTAGAAGAATTGTAGGAAACTAAGTTTTCTTAACTAGATTAAACGAAGAACAGTCAATAGCGTCTTGTGAAAATGAATACTATGATTTATAGTAAATAACTGTTTTCTGTGGTCTAATTGATATTCGTTTCATGTATACGGTTTTAGTGTGAAAAGCTTATATTATAGTTTTTGTGAATAGTATTCATCACATGAAATTTTTATTCTTAGACTTGAAATGCTTATTGGAATAAAAACATAACTTGTACGACTTTAAGAAAAACCTTATTAGTTAATGTCTCAGTTAAATCATACCGTGCTCAAGCGCTAAAGAAACTTGAAGCAAAGTCATTGAAAATCAAATGAAAGTTAGCATAACTCATTAATAAGTTAGTTTAAAGATTTGATGTTCGGTCAGCAATTAAGGGAAAAATAGTATAAAAGTGATTGTTATTTAAGAATGGATTTATTACCGCAACTGATCTTTGAAGGGATCGATTACTGCCAGAAAAGTACAACGTTAATGTCTATGTTCTTGGTAATGAATCCCTTACAATTGTCACATTGACTGAGCATAAGGATTTCTGTTTGGGCATAGATAAACGTTCATAACAAGTTTTAACGACAAGGATAAAAGTGAACTCGAAACGTTTCTCATTAATTAGTGTTATGCATCTAACACTAAGAACTCTAACAGTAAATAAAGTATATCTGAAGGTTTGTTTAATACTAATGGCAATGGCTACCATTGTATAAATAAATTTTTTTTGAAAATTCGCTGTCAGAATTAATAAAAACTTTTATTATTATTTCTCTGGAAAGCATAGTATTATTGACACAGAGAGGATTTAGCTTACTTGTGAATGGAGTGTTATCAAATAAGTTTGCTGATACGCTTCACTTTCATGGTCAGGTGAAAATGTGATAGAAATGGTTTGTTTATCACCTATGGTTTAAAATATAAAAAAAAGTAAACAGAACTGATCATTTTATGTTGAATGACTGAAAAGGTATCTGATACCGAAATATATTAAGTCACGATTACTAATCAATTATTTAACTTGTCACTCTCTGGATCAAAACTGATAAGTGTTAAGTCATTATTTAGAACCCCTTAAGTAACGTAAGTTCACTCACTGATAAACTACTAGTGCAGTGTGGCTTATTTTGACAACCTGTCATTTAGACAAGTAATCATTTATGCAGAGAAACAAAACTGTGAAGTGATTTTAAAGTCTCGAAAATGTTTTATACCATAAAAGTATCATCTGTTTTACAGTCTTCAGAAACTACTTTCCTATCCTACTGTAAGTCAATAAATTATATTTTCTTTTCTGAAAAATGTTGTGCTTAAAAAGTAATATTCCTTTCACTCACTGATACTTGGAGAGAATGGTTTTGTTACATTAAGGATGGAAATCATTCGAAAAGTGAGCCAAAATGTTCTATTTTTTATGTGTACTGTTAATAAGGTTTGTGTTTGATGTTTCGGAGAAAATTAAACGATTTTCTTAGTATATTTGAGGCCTGAGAGTTCAAACGGTACGACAGGAGGGGAGTTGCATCAATCTAATCTGAGCACCCATTAGCTCAACTAGATTGTCTGTTCACTGTTAACGACATTCGGCTACCCAATGAAAACATGTGTGAAATAACAGCCAAGAGTAACACTAAATGACTGTTGGGTCAGAATGAGATTTCCACTCACCTGAAAGAGAATGGACAGCTCAGCTAGCAGATAATTTTTAATCATAAAGTTCGAATTTATGAATCACTCACACAATAATGCAGAGCTAAATCATGACCACAATACAGTAGAATTAAGAATTTGCAATAACGAGTACTGAGTGATAGATTAACACTTATTTGGGAAAAGTTCAATTTTGCCTAACATTTATCCTGACTGCAGTGTTCTGCTAGTTTTTATTTACATCATTTATGTGGTAATTACTGTGGGAAGGAACAAACCCATATCCAGCGGAGGAGTAAATCAGGAAGAAGCGGTGGAAGCGGATAGGACACACACTATGAAAAGCATCGAACTGCGTCACAAGACAAGCCCTCACTTAGAACTCTCAAGATAAAACGAAAAATGGAAGGTCAAAGACCACATTAAACCGAGAAATAGAGAAAGACATGAGAAGAATGAACAAAAATTGCAAAGAACTGGAAAGGGAAGCCCAGGACAGAGTTAATTGGATAAAACCTGTCGGCGGCATATGCTCCACTGGGGGTAACAGGCATAAATAAGCAAGTAAGTTATAATTTAATGATAATAATAATCATTACCAACTACCTAGTTCAAATAAACTTTGATCGAGAGAAAGAAATATTTTTTCTATGGTAACAAGCATTTTTTGGTGCTTTAAATAATTTGCTTTCTGAAAATATTTAAGATAATCATAACCAGAAGTATGATCTTCATCTTTTTTTCTTCTCTAATATTATTTTGATGGCTTGCAATATGAAGTATGTAAGCTGAAAAATAACCAGGGAAAGTGAATTTTATTTTCAATCATCAAGAATGGTAGCATTTAACTGAGCAGAGGGCATTAATGAAAAATGAAGGATGTCGTCATCTTCTCTTTAATATTATCGTGATATACACATTCGAAGATTGACTTAATCAATGGCATTATAAACTAGGAATACAGTGAAGTGTTATTCATGTAAAATGGTTGCTACTTGATAATTAATTGCTTCAAATCTGCCTGTGACATACTGTTTCAGTTTCAAAGAAATATGAGTGATTTAATGTAAATTACTGAAGATATAAACTTGATAAGTGTCTGTATATATTTCAAATACCTTGATGAAGTGTGAATGTAACATATACATTAGACATTTAAACAGACTGAGTGGTGGATGAAAGTGTTATATATATCTAGGTAAAAAAAATTTAAAAAACTGAATTTCCGAAAATCGGTATCAAGAACATACATAAGGTAATGAATGTTAGGATGGCTCAGAAAATTTGCAGCTCAGGTGGATGATTGTGATGGTGTTTCGTTGTGATTTGGTTGTAGAGCTTTCATTGTTCTTCTGAACAACATCATCAACACAAACTTCAAATAGAAGTCAAGTATGCGAATTTCTTGACATATAATCCGCAGCTTGTACTGTTAAACTCGATCTTGACTGGTTGTTATTGACCTTAAAAATGTCATTGTTTGAGACTTCATTTTGATTGTATTCCCTCTGTTCTATTTCTTGAACCTATGTTTATGATTTTTCTGATTTGTTGATAAATTGGGTCAATGTCAATGTGCTTGTTGACTGACTTTAATGCTGAGCTTCTGAAAATTCACTAAGGTTCTTTGTACTTTCTCTAACCAGTATTTAAACATTGTTCCAATCGAATTTATGCTTATAGTAGTCCGCATGTATTGATGTAAGGGGAGAAATTTCATGGTGTTTGACTGCTAATTGATGTTCACGTAGACGAAGCTGAGAAGGACGTAAGCATTGTCCAGTGCAGTGCTTCTCGCAGTCTGAACAGTTTAATTTTAGATGATGTTTTGTTTTTCTCGTTTTTCATTTTGCCTTTTGGTCTGAACAGGGTTGATTGAAGTGATTCTGTTGGTTTGTGTGCTACACCTATTCCGAATAGTTTCATCAGTAGTAGTGCTGCAACTTTCGATGTCTTTGTTATATGAAGGCATGATCCGTTTGTTGGTTCTTGTTGATAGTTTTAGCTGATTGTTTTGATGAAGTCGCTTGCATAGCTACTCTTCTGAAAGATAGTCATCGGAAATTCTTCCTTTATGGGTTGGCTCCCGAAATACTTGAGACAGTTACGGTTATTAGTACATCTAGTAATGACAGTTTGTTGTTTGATTCCTTTTCAATTGTGAATTTTATGTTAGAGATGATGAACTAGTAAGGCATCAATGTTCACTAAATTTTATTCATGCATGTCGAAGAAGCTGAAGGGTGAGATTCTACAAACTTCTTAATTTGATATTTACTTAGAAAATCATATCTAAAACATCTTTAAATATGTTGAAATTAGTTAAGGGGCTTATAAATGGAAGATGCATTAGCGATGAAGCGCAGATAAATATTTCTAATCTAATTAAGTCTTTTGTACGTCAGTCGTCTGATGTGAGAGTTTTTATATCTAAATGTTTGAAGAAGGATCTTGTTTCACTTTTTACTGCAGTTGATTTTCGAAGATTTCTTCAGTCACTTAACTCGTCTCAATATTTAATACCTAACCTCCTTTGTAAGAAATGTGCTGACCTTTTATATCGCCTAGTCACTACCATCACTGACGAATTCTATTCATGTGGAGAAAGGTGAAGTTAATGTCAATACCAAAGAACCTATCTTGTGACGAGAATGCAAATTTTAGACGTACAGCAATAACTCTACCATTCTTCCCACTCCAACCAGCATTAAAAGAGCAAACTGACCGATTTTAGTTTGCTTGAAAACGCAAGAGTTGTATCTTAAACAATCCTGTCTAAAACTTAATATGGTATTTTGTTTGGAAAAGGGTAAAAAGTATGTTCGATGCATATAACACGACTATGCTTTTGCATATAACTCTATTTCAAGGCCATCACTAATAAACTAGTTTGCAGACGCCAAAACCAACAGCTGAATAGCCAAGTAGCTATGTCCTTGTTTCTCTGAGAGACAAGTGGTTACTGTGTTTCAAATGAAAAAGTCCAACTCCTTCACAACTCCAGCTGTTCCACAAAAATCTGTTCTTCCTCATTTTCCTCTTAAAATGAATAAGTTCTTGTCTTTCACTAAGTGATAGGTCTGTCATTAAGTGATTCACTTTTAATCCTTCTAAATGTCAAATTCTTACTTTTAACCTGAGATATGTGAACACCGATTGAAAACCCTGTTAGAATCCTATAAACTCAGTAGTGTGAGCAATTCTACAATAAACTGCCAAAAGTCACTCAGAATGACGTAAGTTTTTTCTCTGGCCTTTCTTGGTATTCTCATGTTTTAGTGATTTCGAAAGTTTTCTGTTTGACCTATTATATATAACGAACACATGCTTTTGGTATCAACCAAAATTTACTTTAAAGTTTTGCATATTATTATGCATTATTCATTATTCTTTGTGCGTTCTGAGACAAAATTGTGTTGTTTTGCGGAGAGTACTGGAAGCAGTTAACAGAAAATGTAGTTAATGTTTTGAGGACATGATGCAAATGGTTGTAGGTAGGTAGACATTTGAGATCTTGAAAACTCTTGACGAGTGTTATCTTATCAGATACTAACCATCCACTTCATTCACATCTTTCTCTTTGTATATATTCTAGTAGAATGAGATGCCTATAAACTAAAAACCACGAATACAAACAGAGGTATGAAAATTCTACACTGCCTTTTACCTAGCAGTCTACTATGCGACGAACAGATTGTTAGCTCTGACCTAGTTAAAAACTTGGACTCTTAAAAGTGCTGCTAATCAAAAGTTCTATAGAATTTTATTATCTTATAAACCTTTCCTTTAATTCCAGACAGTTTATTGATTCATTTCATGTATATATGTATTTAAAAATTGCCACCATAGAATATTCGGAGAGAAGAATATTTGAGTTGTTGCACTATGTTTAAGACTCTTTAGCAGTTCAGGATGCTGATACCTGCTTTGTAGATTAAGGATTTCAGAGAAATATAGACTTTTATTGTAATACTAGTACAGTCTTTTGATGTACTTTGAAAAGAAGTAAATTTCTGGCTGATCTATCATATCTCTAATTCGTTTCAACTTTTCTAAAGCTATTATTTATTATATTTGGTGTTATTTTTTAAAACTATAACATTTTTCCATAGTACTTGGTTGAAATATACAGATATTTCAGTAATCATGTCATATAATTACTCAAGCATTATATTTCTAAGTGAAGACTTTGAAATTTGTAGATTTATTCGCAAAAAAAAGGATTATACCATTTTGTGATATCACTTCTGTTATTAATACTGTCTGTCACTTTTAACCACTAACGCTTCATGAAATTTCACATTTTATTTATTAAGCTATAGGAAAAAGAATATTTCAAAGTTTCATAAAAAAGAGAATCATAAGGCAATATATTTTTTTTTTCAACAAAAATCTGAATTTTGATTTCCATTTTTTTAAAATTATCCTGTTTAGTTATTCATGAATATACCTTTTTCTTTGTATTTCACTGTGTGTAAGTATACAAGTTATTGGTATAGTTGGGGGAGTGAAAGAGGAAGGGGAAGAAAGGCAAGATATCAATGTCATGTTTTGAAAAAAAAAACTCACAACAAACATACATGAATGTTATAAGCCTTTTTTTTCTGAGTATACCAACTTATTGAATGAGGAGAAGCTTTTCATGTGCATCGATTTCTTTTTTTATTCAAAATGAGTTTTAAAACTACCTAGAATATTTATGTTTAAGATTTAAAATTTGTTAAAAAAATTTGAAATGATATCTCATATGTTTAATCATTTTATTTGAATACGTAGTAAGATAGTTTGAAGTATGAAGCAAAAATGTTCGTTTTATCTTTGTTGAACAATATAAAAACATGGCCAGTACAAATTCAATCGAAATAAATTTGGTTTTGTTAGGAGTTAGTTTATTTGGAGAGTGCTCTGTAGTTTTTAAAAACTTTAAATTTTCTAATGGATTGTTGATATGCTGGGGAATAAGTAAGCTTGATAATTTTAGAAGTCACTGATAAAAAAAGGCATCCTATAACTTTTTATACCTAAATGAAATGTTGTATTAGATATGATGTCAACAAGTGTTCTGTGTTGTTCCATAGAACGACTGATTTTTGACGACTATTTATGTTGTTTTCTAGCATTCCTCAAGGAATCGTATCAACGATGTAATGTATACCCGTTTTAATACAGCACCAAAGTCATTAATACTAACGATTTTTTTTGATGACCTTAGTTACCTGCATAGTTGGGATTATTGGTCGGAATTATTAGCTTCATGAGGATAACAAAAAGAGAATCTTTGATTTTGTTGATGTAGTTTTCTTAATACCGACCTAATATGTAGACTGTATTGGTCATGGATTTATCTCACTTACGGCATCACACAAAACCAAAGAAAACCGGAGAGCATCAAAAGGTTCAATTTAAACTCTAATCAATTTATGAATATAACTTATTGAGCGGTCAGTTTAATTGGTGAGAACTGTTTGACTCCGGACTTGCATGAGTTCCAACTGTGACAAAGGAAGTTTATACATAAAACTAATTTCCATTTAAATTTTAACTGAGCTATAGTAATCAGCTCACTGATGGCTTAATTCCAGATTTTCCTGAAGTTACAGTGATCAATGGCTGGTCTGTCTTAGACATTGTGAATGAAACAGTTCTCACCAATGACAGTTGCTGATCAACACCTTAACTTGACAAAGTGTTTGAAGTTCTTAATGTACCTTTTCACAGCGGCCCAATGGTTAAGTTTTCTCTGTGAAACCTGAAGCACAGGGGTTAAGAGTTCTAGTGATGTATGTTTGTCGAATGCAACTGGAGTACGTTCATCTCATAGATATGGTGAATTCTGTTTTGGTAAAATGATAAATCAAAATAATTTCAAACGCGACATTCGACAAAACATACCTGGATTGATTTTCCCTTGGTTCGGTAAAACCATGAATACAGGTAAGCCGTTTTGATTTCGTGATCCACCTACTTGGTTTTCATCATTCTGCACTTGAAAATTCAATGTTATGTTTGTAGGGTTACAGAGAGTTATTTGTCGTTCAGTGAATTCGCCAAGTAAAATATAACCAAAGTTAAGATAATGTGTTGTCTGCTTTAAGTTGTTTGTCAAACTTTGTTGTTCTATCTTTTGCAACGAATCGGGTACAGTAATTAACTCAGGTGGACCATTAAGTTCTATTCTAAAAGGAGGAAAATACCCATCAATAATTTATAGATTGTTTTCTATACGAATATACCTTAACCAATGAGGTGACCTTCTAATTAAAATAGTTTTGTACACTTGCTTGAAACTGTTTCTGATAAGCGTAAAAGTAAACACAAGTTAAAGTCATTATATTGATTGCTTCAAATAAACATGTCAAGCAATAAACTGTCCTGAAACGTGTTCTGGATTCCGAAGAATTATTTCACAGTTAGAAGGGAAGCGCATGCGCACTGATATCAGAAAATGAAAATACAGGTCATTTTTAGACAAATTATTATTACTGGTACTACCTATCTATTTTATACTTTCTTTTATGAGAATAGCAAATATCTATTCTCTTATAATTAACATTTAGTTTACTATGATTTGGTAACCACTTTGTCTTAGTTTAATTAATGATGCCCGATGTTCAACTAGTTCTACGCCATCACTACTTCAGAGTAATATTGTGATATATATATATATATATATATATATATATATATATATATATATATACATTCACAGTTCAGGATATAACTTATTCAGCGATGTTCATTATTTTTGTTAATGAAAATACACTTCTCAATTTTTACAATTAGTTAATGTCTGAAAGTCTTAGTAAATTAATAATAATGAATTGTTTAAATAAACTGAGTTATCAAATTCATTGAAAGTAGTAATAAATGAATATTGAACATACACTGGTGTCACACATATGCCTGAGAATTTCACATTTATGGGACAAAAGTCATCAACGTTAATCTTCATAGATTTATTGTCCATTGGGTAGGCGTATAATGTAAACATTTCTGTACAATAGGTTTGATGTGGATTCGGTGTGAATGCAAAACTTAGACTAGATGTTGCACTCGATTTAATAATCTCTTTAAATTGGACAATTTCAAAAGCTCCTACTGGATTTAAAGGCTTCGGTTTCAGCTGAAAGTTGGAAAAATTAATCAGAGGTAGAAGTTCTCTAGATGATATATAGTTATTATTTGATATAAAGAAATGCATTATGTTGATATTTACAGCTCCACATCATAATTTGTTGAATATAATATTTAACGTTTCATGCTGAATATTAGGTTAATCATTTTCTTAAATATAAATAAATTATTCATTGTACTTATCTTAGTTTACTGAGACTGATGAACCCTGTTAGAATAATTTATAGTGTATTCTCTTGAATGTGTTAGATATAGCTCGACGGTTTTGTATATACTAATCTTCATTACATGTAGTTATGTACGATGAAAGATGGTTGTATCATGATAACATTGCAGACTTCATGAGATAATTCATTGAATGATTTTTTATCTTATTGACTGTTACTAAAATTCAAATCACTACATGAATTAGGAAATGAATCTAAGGAATATAAACATACTCGAATGATTGACCATTTCTCGATGTGAGGCTTAGTTATTCAAGCATACTATATTCAACAATCGTAAATCTGAAATTTTTTTCCTCAGTGCAAGTGATCATTCAATCGTTCGGGCTACAATAATGGTGATTCACCAGCAAGTTAAATTAAGATAATCTTTTTGAGTTATTGCTTACAAGGTCAGACTAAAAATTTGGAGAAAATAGTTTCTTTTAGGCCTCTAGTGAATGCACTCATCAGCAACTAATTTGAATCTATAAAAAAAGCAATACTATAAATAGAACATGAAATTTGTTAAATGTTACCTGTAGCGAATAGAAGCTCATATTTTTAACCGTCAAAACACGAATACTACTTTGTCCAGCACAGATCGCACCAAAATCAAGTTGGTTATAACTTTTGTTCGATTCAATGAGTAAAGCCGGTCTAATTATTGGGCATATCAGCTCAAAAAACAATGTATTTTCCTTCCTAAATAAAAATATTTTTTACGAGACTTAGTATAGGATAATGCAAAACACGAATAAAAAATATCACAGCGTACCAAATTCATTTAAATCCACCTGGAACCTTTTTAAGATTTATGCGTGTTACAGGTCCGGACCAAGGATGATGGTCAGGCAATGGGTTAGCAAGCCCATTCGGTATAAGAGAGTCTTGCTAGAATGTGCAAACTAGAAAAAAGTTATTTTAGCTAATTAAACACTACTGTGGGGATTGAAGGGTCTTCATTTAGCAAAGTTATCGCAACTCATGGTGAAAAGTAAGATTAATCTAAAATCATAAGGCTGATGTTTCTTCTAAAAACGAGACTGACAATTAACTTAGATACATAAAATGTCTGAACCATGTGGAAGACCGAGAGAACCACTCGGGCAGCTGCAGAAATGAAAAGAGACAACTTGACAGCGTTTGGAATACGTGGAACCAATTGGATGCAGGCTGGACGAAAAAGATTGGCTTCAAGAGACATGCTGTTGTGCTCGGGCTATGAAGAAGAAAATGTCTCATACTTTTATGCAGTTCAATTTCAAATAATAACCAGCTTGTTCAAAATGAACAGGAAATACTTCAGTTATGCAGGTAATGATATAAATCATTTAAAGTTTGTTAAGTATATTCTTGGTTAACTTGAAAGTTGGATTTACTTGTATAACAGCTTAGATTTAGGACAGCACTTTATGCATCATACTTTTGAATAATTTAAGTTTAATAAAATTTCAAAACAATAATTTATAATAATTGCAGAAAATATATCCAAATCATCTTATAACCGGAAATGAGTGATTATGAATTTAACTTAAATGTGAAATGATTTAAAAGCCGTAAATCATTTGCAATAATTATTCTGAAAGTTGTTTTTAACGACGATGTGAGCATAGATTACAGTGTAACATTATGGTAACATCGCAATTCATTGTTAGCTTTGTCTCGGATCAGTTAGTACGCACGTATTCATTGATACAAAGCTGTAAACGGTCATTCATTTTTTACTTACTTACTTACTTACTTACTTACGACAGTTAGCCCCAAAAGAGCATAGGGCGCCGACCATTATACTACAAACTACTCTGTCACGGGCCTCCTTTACAGTTCTATCCAATTTTTGTTCATTCTTCTCATGTCTGTCTTCATTCCTTGGCGTAATGTGTTTCCTGGTCCTCCTCTTTCCCTTTTACCCTGAAGGTTCAAAGTGAGGGCTTGTCTTGTGACACAATTCGGTGCTTTCCACAGTGAGTGTCCTATCTACTTCCACCTCTTCTCCCTGATTTCCTCCACCGCTAAAATCTGGTCTGTTCGTTCGCACAGTATGTTGTTGCTGATAGTATCTGACAAACGAATTATTTAAGGTAAACAACTGTTAATGAATACTTGTATCTTCTGGATGATGGCCTTTGTAGTTCTACAAGTTTCCGCTCCATACAGTAGAACACTCTTGACATTTGTATTGAAAATTCTGATTATGGTGATGGCTGATAGTTGTTTGGAGTTCCAGATGTTCTTCAATTATACAAATGCTGTCCTTGCTTTGCCGATCCGCGCCTTCACACCTGCATCAGAGCCACCCTGCTGGTCAATGATGGTGCCTAGATATGTAAAGGTTTTAACTTCCTCAAAGATATTTCCATCAAGGGTATTTTGGTTGTGGTGGTGTTTCGTTGTCTGAACTAAATGTTTTGGTTGTGGAGCTTTCATTGTTCTTCTGAACAATATCATCAGCACAAACTTCAGATGGAAGTGAAGTATTCGAATTTCTCCATGTTTGACCTGTAGCTTGTTCTGCTAACCTCGATCTTGATTGGTTGCTGTTGACCTTAAACCTGTCGTTGTTTGCACATTTGTTTTGATTGTATCCCCATTTTGATCTGTTTCTTGACCCTATGTTACCTATGATTTTCCTGATTGGTTGATAAACTGGGTCAGTGTCATTATCAAAAGGAAAGAGCTGGAGAATATCTACAATTGGATTAACAGCATCTTCGATGACATCAAATTCACGATGGAAAAGGAATCAAACAACTGTCTATCATTCCTGGATTTACTAATCACCAGAGCTAACACAGGAAAACTAGAAACTCAAGTATTTCGGAAGCCAACCCACACAAACTTAATTCTCAACTACGGTAGCAACAACCGAAGAACCCACATAATCAACTGCATACAAACTTTGTTCAAGAGAGCGAAGACACACTGCAGCACATATGAAGCACTAAAAAAGAGGAAAACGCATCTTATGAATATCGTCTAAAAGAACGGCTATCCACGCAACTTCATCAGAAAACACAACCGAAATCGTCAAAAGAAGCGAAATCAAGTACAGGAACCAATAAACGGATCATCCTACCGTACCTAAAAGACATATCGGAACACAGCACGACTACTGAAACCATTTGGAATAGGTGTAGCACACAAACCAACAGAATCACTTCAATCAATCCTATGTAGACCAAAGGACAAAATGACAAATGGAGATAAACCAAATATCATCTACGAAATAAATTGCTCAGACTGTGAAAAACACTCAATAGGACAAAGTGGACGTCCTCTTCAGCTCCGTCTACATGAATATAAATTAGAAGTCAAACACCATGACATTTCTTCCCTGATATCAATACACGCGGACAACTGTGGACATACATTCGATTGGAACAATGTTCACATACTGGATAGGGGGATCACAAAGAACATAAGAGAATTTTTAGAAGCTTGGCACTCAGGTCAATCAGCAATCAACTAACACTTTGACGTTGACCCGATTTATCAACTAAACATAAAAATCATAGATAAATATAGGGTCGATAAACAGATCAAAGGGGGATACAATCAAAACAAAGGTGAAAACAACAACAGGTTTAAGGTCAACAGCAACCAATCAAGATCGAGATTAGCAGAACAAGCTACAGGTCAAACATGGAGAATTTTAAATGCTTCACTTCTATCTGAATTTTGTGCTGATTATGTTGTTCAGAAAAACAATGAAATCTCCACAACTAAAACATTTAGTTCAGAGAACGAAACACTATCACATTCATCAACCTGAGCTACAAATTTTCTCCACCATCTCAAAATCATATGAGCGTAATGTGGTTGGCGCATGTTATGTTGTATCGGAGAATCTTGCTTTTTCCTTTATATGTGGTGAGATATGCTGCTGCGGAGTCTGATGCGACATTGGCCGTCTTCTCTTGCATTTGTTGTTGCATGTGCAACAGAAGAGCCAGATCATCTGCGAAGTCTACATCGCGCGGCTGCGCCGTAGTTGTCCACCGTATCATGCGCTTACCCGCAGATATTGATATCTTCATGATCCAATCGATGACCAGGAGAAAGAGAAAGGGTGAGAATAGGCAACCTTGCCTGACAGCGGTCTTGACTTTGAAGAAGTCTGTCAACTGTTCTCCGTACACGATATTGCAGTTCATTAAGTAGTACGAATTTGGTGTGATGTTCATAACATTCTCGGGCATGCCGAAGTGTCAAGGAAGTCTTCACAGCATTTTACAGTCCATGCTATCAGTGAAGCTGATGTAGAGTGGTGAGTTCCATTCAATTGATTGTTCCACGATGATCCCCGATGTTGCAGTTTGGTCGGTACTTGATCGATCCTTATGAGATCCAGCCTGTTGATCTCGAAGTTGGGCGTCTACGAAATTCTTCATTCTGTTTAACAACACCCTGTCAAAGATTTTGCTTGGTTCTCAGAGAAAGGTGATGCTCCTTTAGTTTGCATACTTGCTAAGACCGACTCTCTTCGGTATCATGATCAGGTATCCTTCTTCCTAGTCTGTTAGTACTTGACCTCCATCCCGAATGTTGCTGAAGAGAATGCAAAGCATCTTTTCAGTTGCTGCTACATCTGCTCTCAGTGTCTCTACTGGAATGTTTTCTGGTCTCGCTGCCTTGCTGCTCTTGATTTGTCTCATAACTACTCTGATCTCTTCGATTATTGATGAGTCAATGACGATTGGGAGGTCCGTGGATGCTGCTTCGATGTTATGTGGGTTCAGTCATATTTAGCTTTTGTAATATTGTCCACCAGATTGTCCAGGGCTTTTTGAGTTTCAGTTTCACTTTGGCGGCTGTTGTTGGTCTGAGGCTACATCAGTCCCTGTCTTAGTTCTCACATCTCCAATGATTCATCTGAACTTTTTATTGGTACAGGTAGCATTGGATGACGTTCATTGTAATGCCCTCTTTCTTTGTTTTGAAGGATGGTTTAGTGGTCCTGGGTACAGGAGATTCTGTAGTATTTAGAAGTATATGTATCAAGAAATAAGAATATGCACCAACGAATGTATTGTATTTAGAATTCGAAATCAAGCATTTCACAACAACAAGAAGTTACTAGTTCATTCAAACACCACGTCCGCCACCGCTTAAATTGGAATGTATATGTCTGTAATCAGTTGTACGTCTTCTTCTCAAATTCATCCTGTGTCTGTCCGACAGTGTATTGGATAAAGGCTCTGTATTATCTAGAATGCTCTCATTAGTATTAGAATTACCAACCGAAATTGGAACAGACTCACCTGGTTCCTGGAATTGTATTTTATCAACATGTCGACTGTATGTACTTAAGTCATTGATATCTAGAAGTCGCACCATAGATTTCCCAACATTCTTTAGAACAATCCCCGTGGATGGTCGAAGATCATTGCCACGATAATATGTAACTTCTGCAGACTCCAAACATCTCATATTCGACCGAAGAATTCTTCCTTTTAATAGTTTTGATGGAGTCTCTTTCGTCACCGAATGTCTGGCATTTCTATATTGCAGCAGAAAGGTATCTACTCCCCTCTCCAGCTCATTAAATGTTGAGGCGGCAATAGAATCACTCAACCTCGAATGCTGATTTTTCAGCTTATGACACTTTTCGCCATTCTTTGCTGTACGACAAATATCTGCATTTAATGACTGTCGAGAAATGTAGTCAACATGTTGAATTTGCTTGGCACTCCCGTGCTGAACCATTTTCATACTTCCATTGCACTTAGCACTCGTGGCTATCAAATCTTTAAGTAAAGCATCAGAATTTTCTTTAGAAACTAGGAGAGACAACTCCACTTTAAGTCTTCTCAAATTCTTTAAACCCAATACTGACAGTCCTGTTTCACTAACTAAAAATTCACAAGGTATATATGAGGAATTATCATCTCTTATTCGCAATTCACAACATCCTCGTATAGGCAGTTTGTGTCCAGTAATCCCCAATATTGATACTTCAGTGGGTCGTATCACAACGTTCGGATCTAACGATTTCAAGCTCTTGAATGAAATAATGGACTCTATACTGCCTGTGTCCACAATAAAGTCATGAAATGAACCAAGTGATGTATATAGTCGCTTTTGAATATGAGCATTACCTTTCGAAATGGTAGTTAAAGATAAATGATCATTAGGATCAGCTGAATTATTGGGATCTAAATTACAAGCTTTAGTACTACTTGAGGCAAAATGAACAGTAGCTTTGCATACTGCTTGAATGTGTCCTATCTTACCACATCTAAAACATTTAGCATTACGAAATGTACAATAATATCGAGAATGAAGTTTTCCACATGACAAACATTTGCCAAACTTGGTCTCACCTTTTTGATTTCCTTTGTAATTCTTTTTTGAGACACCGTTCATTTTTACACGAGAATAGGAACCTCTGTTAAACGAACACAATTTTGATTGACCCTGAGATTGCTTTTCATCATGACAACTAATCAAAGTATTGGAAATCTTCATCGACTGAATATCAAGTTCATTCAACGCCTCGTAGTTAATGCACGCAGTTCTAACATCTTGAAAGGAACAGTTTGACATTCTTAACAGCTCTCTTTCCAAACTAGGTATGTTAATTCCTGCAATTAATCGGTCTCTCAGCTGCACATGAAGTTGATCACCGAAATTACATTTGACAGCCTGTTTCTGCAATTCAAGAATGAATTCCTTAACATTTTGGTCATTTTGACGAATCATCTTATGAAATTTCGCTCTTTCACGGCATTCAAAACCAGGGCACTTTACATGATTCAATAATAACTCCTTTAGCATTGCATAGGGAAGTGAAATAGGTTTCTCTGGATATGCCAAGGTTTTCAATAAGCTGTACGCTTCTTTTCCGATGAATGTTAGGAAATGAGCCACAATTTTATCATCTTTGACATCTTTCCTGGTCATACTCCAGATTTCAAACCTTTCCAAATAATCTTCAAAAGCTTCAGAAGTAGAATGAATATCTAGCTGTTCCATTACAAGATCCTGCTCGCGACGCCAGTGTAGTATTTAGAAGTATATGTATCAAGAATTAGAGATAGGCACAAACGAATGTATTGTATTTAGAATTCGAAATCAAGCATTTCACAACAACAAGAAGTTACTAGTTCATTCAAACACCACAGATTCCCATCGTGTTAGTGCCTTTTGTGCTTGTTTGGACAGCATCAGTGCGACTCCTTGCGTGTGTGAGGCATTTTCTTCTTCAAGGCTGGATTATGACAGCAGCTTTCCTGAAGCAAGTCTTGTCCAACAAGCGTCCATTGTGTTTCACTGATTCCAAGCACTTCCATGTTGTATCTTCTAATTTCTGTGGCGATTTGGAATAGTTTCGGTCTTCCACATTGTTCGAACATTGCATGTACTTGAAAGAATGGTTTCTCTGGTCGTGAGAAGGGGCCTCAGATTCGTGATTTCTGAAGGAACTTGGCTTACATAAAGAGACGTTAGAACTCTTCTGAATGAAGACCTTCTAACTCCCAGGTCAGAGTTAAAATGGTTTGAATTATCTTTTATGATGAGCGTTTTTTTGCGAGCTAACTTCTTTTTATGGGACTTGGTTATCAACCCCATGACCAACCCTCCTCCATGGGACCGGCATTAGCTTCAGAGAGCCTCCAGGCAGAGTTAAAGGGTGATTCAAACTAATCTTTATAATGCTTTAAAGTTTCTATACCTTGTTTATTTCTTCATAATACAATCCGACAAACGTGTAGTATGGCTAAATGATTTATAATAACTGAAATTTCGTGAAAAATGACATCTGTACAACTATCCACTGATTACACAAAAAATGGCACAGCGGATATAGGTTAAAACATCAAGTAATGTTCAGATGATCGACTTCATATATATATATTTAAGAGGTGATGAAACCCAGAATGGCCACTTTGTTTTACTTAAGGCCTAACACAACCTTCATAACAGTGATCGAAACAATCACTTTGGTAGACATCGTATTTTTTTTAAAACTTTTAGCCCTTTTTATAAATTTTGACAGAAAAATGAGAAGACGAAGTAATTGTGAAACGGACCATAGAGCTGATGTCAATAAATCTTATAAAAAGTTGTATAGAAACTATTACGGACGAATTCTTAGGTTTATAGAAGCCGTGACTCTGCAAACTAAAACCCCCCTTATATATACAAAAATGTCTGTTATAACTTTGAATTTACTCTGATAGTCTTTAAGCCATTTTGCAGCTTACGGTAGTGCAAAAATTTCCCATTCTTTCCATGTTATGTCAGTTTTCCCACCCCTTTATTTACAACTATCACTGTATTCAAACTTTTATTTAATTGACCTTCATGAATTTTCATATAAATTTCTTGACGAGTATGTCTGATCAGATTGTTCTAAATGTGCAGAGCAACTCCATCTTATCATTGTTTCATTTTTAGTTCATTCAAATTGCGGAAGCGCTTAGAAAAACTTTTTAGTCGATTGTTTAACGTCACAACTGTTTTCACTTATGAAGATTCATAAATGATTGAAAGGACTCAATAATAATAACAACAATAGATAGATCTTACATGTAAGTAGGAGAGGGTTTAGCTGCAGTGTCTGAGCCAGGTCCATCAGCAACAAAACATGCTACACGATAAACGACGTGAACTCCAGGCCATGCATGCACACCTAATTTAATCATAGGTGATTCATTTGCTGCTGTTAACATTTGAGAAAATTCTACTTCTGATTCATTTTGATTATTGACAAAAGTATATGGATGGTATGGGTAATGAGTAAGTAAAGATTTAAATCCTCTAATGTATTCATCACTTCTTTCAATAATTGAATCCGGATCTGTCGGCTGGAACAATACTTCTGTTTCCGAAATGATCTTTTCTTCGGGCAGTTTTGACGACTTTTTATCCACCATCTTTTCTTTTTTTCCTAGTGTACTCTGACCTGCTTTTGAAGCAGATTGATTGACCTAAAAAATAAAATTTTACAGATTATTTAGACCAAATGACAAAATTGTCAGTTAAAATTGTTTTGAAACTATTCATTCGAATAAAATATTAAAAAAACTACGCAATGTAAAGGTAAGTGTCATTATTAGCGCGATGTAAAGCTAAGATATTTTAGGATAAAAAGGAAGTAAAATAAATGTCATCACCATTGGTAGGATATCGCACAATCTGTGTTTCCTCTTGTTTTCGACTATTCTGTTGAATTTGTGTACATCGCTGTGGTCTTATAATCAGCATCAAGATATACATTGTAAGGCTTCTCGCATTGGATATTAATTAGATCTTATCGAATACAACTTTACTCACCCAAGGATGAGTAACAAATCATGAGAATTCCGCTGGCGATATTTAGATTCTCGTGTGTAAAGTATACTGAAATGATTTACACTTACGGCATCTTGTAATTCAAGCTGAATTTTAAACAGGTAAACAATAAAACAATATCTATGATCATTCTTGAGGTTTGTAGAACAAGATTTAGTGGAAATGAAGAGTTGAACCGAAAACATTTGTGTATATCATACAATTATATCAATATATATATATGATTCAACCAAGAATGTCGGACTTCCAAGTGATCTCTTATACTAATTGACAAATTTTCACGGTCCTGCAAAATTATCTTGGATAACTAATTGCTCTGTTAATAAACAATAAATGGTGAAATATTTGAATTTTAAACCGCTTACAAGACCGAAATTACTATCAATTCTCTACTGACACATTCTACTAGCATTTAGAACTTCTTATCGATCACATATTGTCAAAATCAGTTGAATTTAGTGAAATAAAACGTTACCTATATAAAAAAGGTGAAATCATCAGCATAAGTCTAGGGACAGTAGATATCATAATAATAGGTTCACTCTACATTTTTTTGACGTACGAGACTTGGTGTCCCTAGTTGGACTCATTACAAGTAATCATATTTTGTAATGATAGCACTATGCTGTATTTATGAAATTGGTGTCGAAGAATTGGTCATTAAAACTACAATATTTAAGACGATTCAAGTTTTACTCGACTGTCTTCGATTGTGATGAATAGATCTAGGATAAATTAGTGCTCACAACAGGTGTCATCAGTTTGGAGTGTTGTGAAGTGGGTAAGGCAAAACATCGTGAAATAAGTAACCTTTTACTATAGAGAGATACTTGCAATAATTATATCTTAAGCAAGACTACTTGTAGTTTCTAATGATTAGTAGTTTAAATCTGCACAACCCTATAATGACAATCAAAACAAATTAATTAAAAATTTTAATTACACACATATAATGATTGATAATATTTTAATTTTGAAAACAATATTCACTGGATGCAGATAACATTTGCATTTTAATGGTTCTTTTTAGAAAAATTCAAATTGTGAAAATTATTTCTGAATAAAATGCACAAACTTTTTTCAACCGTATTTAAAAATCATTATAACAGCTAAATAAAACAAACTAACTGAAATATATTTTATTGCAACTCTTTACAGAGGAAAATGAAATCATACGCGACATGTTTTTTTTGAAAAACTTTATATAATGGATGATAAATAAAGCTACTCAAAAAAAAGATGCAAGATTATCACCTTGTTAAGTTTCACAGCCTTTTCTTCTGTATTCAATAGGGATTTTTCTTTTCTCTGTTCCGCTTTGTCTATATCACACAATCGACTTGCTTCTCTTTGTATACACTGTTTATTTAAGCACGGTGAAAAACGAACCATTATTTGCTGGCTCTATACATATATACATGAAAAAAAAAAGAATTTCTTTTTAGTAATTAATCATAGTAAAATAAGACTGAAAAAGTGGACATAATTTTCGACATTACCTGATGATATTAAGTAAACTACATTTGAAAACATTATTACTGAAATAAAATGTGTCTAATATATTTGAATCTCAAATTTATGCTTATATCTACAAAGCGTACAATGTAAGTAGAGAAAAGGCATTCTTGTAAACTATTCCTACCTATTGAGATAAAATGTAGTTGTCAGATACTATTTCGAACTTTAAATAGTATGAATATCATATTGTAAAATGTAATTTTGCCTTTCTGAATTCATACTTTAAAAAATCTTGTTTATTCTGGTTCACTACACTGACTAAACACAGAACTCAGGTTATATAGGCGGAACTATTTCAATGATTATCAAATAAAATTTACTAAGTCGTGATACAAGTTAGCTTGACTGCCTTCTGACTTAAGTGCAAAAATCGATAAACTGCATATTACTATAAACATGTTCCAAACAAGAACTTAACTTACCTCTCCTGGTTTCAGTGTTCCAGTAGCTGGATAAAAACTAATGAACGTTGACAAAACTGATTCTAATAGATCATTTGATGAATTGTTATCTGCAATTAAACCATTTGAGTTAGTTATGGTAGCCTTGACTACTTGAAGTTCAAATGCTCTTGGTCCAACTGGAACTGGTTTTGTATTCGAACCAATGCATGGTTGTATATGCGTAAATGGATTAGCTGAAGTATGATGATTGTAGATTCTTAAACTATTTACACTAGATTCATTGATAGGTGTAGGATTGAAATTAAGTTGATTGACTGATAAACTTAACGGTGAGTAAACTGCAACACCAGTACATTCTGTAGTAAAAGTACTGTTAGAAAGTCAAATTATAAGCGAAAAATATAAAGATGAAATGATTTATGGTAAGATTGAAAGTAAAAGGAATGATAATTTCTTAAGATAAATAATGTTTTATATATAATAATTTGTAGAAGTAGGGCTTTTATATTCATGAGTGTTAATTCACACAGCAACAAGCATTTCTTAATACGATTTGGAGATGGGGAAGAAAATGTATAGCTCAGGTGGATGATTATTTTGGTGTTTCTTTCTCTGAGCTAGATTTTGCAGTTGTGGAGTTTCTATCCAAAGTTTGTGCTGATGATGTTGTTCAGAAAAAGCGACGAAAGCTCCACAACTGAAACTTCCAGCTCAGAGAACGAAGCACCACCACAATTTCTTAATACAATTGATTTCATGATATTCAATGAAATAATGGCTTAGTAATCCTAATGATAGTAATAATGATTAGGAGAGTCACAGTTGCTCAACACAGAAAAGTCTGAAATACAATAGACACTTGGCTAATCAAGGTGATAAAAGTTTAAACCTTTTTCGCAATATAAAAAAATCCGAGTGTTAATTATAATAACAGTGATCAAATAGACATAAAATCAATGCAGATATTGGCGTGATTAAGTTTCTTAAGATTGGAAAGATGAAGAATGATTATCAAGGACATCAATCAAGGACTATTGAATAGTAAATAACAGTAGCTTTAGATCATCGTAACAATGTCAGATATGAGCTTTGATTAAAATGACGAATCGCCTTTGTCTTTTTGAAGTCCAATAGTCTACTATCGATTGCTCCGCTCGTCAGATGAAGTATTGAAGCTGAGTGTATCATAGAACTAGTATGTATATCATTTGCTTGCTATTGGCTTACTAGTCTTTATAGGATATATGGTGTGTTTTATGGGATTCTCTGAAATAGAATCATTTCTGTACCAGTGCAAATAAATAACTAAATATTACCAGAGAAGCCCCACTGATATTTTTTGGAATAAATTTACACAAATAAAAATTGATTTAAAGATAAAAGTAAGAACAAGTGTAGTGTTTAGTTATAAATTAGCATTTAGTGAAGGAATGATAATGCATACAATAAAGACTATATTTTATTTGGTATGTAATGCAAGCATTAAATTTTTTCCCTTAAAGGTACTTATTTCACCTAGAGTTTATAGGGCACAGTTTTAGCGTTTCATTCAATACATCCGTCAGATGGATCATACAGATAATGTGAATGAGTTCTAACCTACTCTGAAAGCACTGTTTCAAACTTTTTCAAAACCAACACCTAGTCTAATCGTAAGGGATAAAGTTGTTTAATACGTAGAAAGTATTTGTCTTTAAATTCTTATCAAATCCAGTGTTATGAGATCTACGTAAGGACACTAAATGAACGGTGTTTTTTTCACAACTTGTGATACTTATCTTTCTGTTTACTAAGAAGCAATCTACTTTACAATTTGATTAACCAATGTTTCGACTAAGGTATGTTTTTTTTTCTTTGTAGGTGATGGAACCATTCAATGCGTAATCAATAGATAAGACGCAAAGTGTTAAACAGTAATTGTCATAATTTAATGAGACAATCGGTTGATGTTACTGGTACTTTAGTTATTTTCACTAATCTTACTATCTGAACAACAATATATATTTTATTGTGCATACTGAAATAGTGACAACTGTATGTGTTACAGAAATAATACCTACTCATTGAAAAATGTGCAGTATATATATATATATTTATATATACATATTTCTTCATTCTTTACAGCTATTATAAACTTACAACTTACCGTCCAATACCTGATTTACAAACCAAACTGAAGTGATAATCTTTTGCTTTTTTTGGCTGAAACAATACTTCCAATTCAATGGTTTCTTTACCAAGTATCACACCGAAACCATCATTTGGTTGAATATCAACAAACTGAACCGCAGGAAGAAAAAAATATTTAACACTTAACATTTCATTATAGACTTTATTTATTCTAAATAAACAATTCACTACACACAAATCAAAGTCACAAAAAGTACAGAAACATTCGGCAAAGTCAATAATTACAATCTTTTACAGCTGTTTTATTGCACAATTTGTTCATTTAACATTTGTAAGCTTTTATTATATATATTTAACGCTATCAGCATGTATTTAAATGTGAAGGTAGATTGAATTATATGTTATAAGAAATCTTTTCACACATTGTTATCATTCTGAAGAAATAAATGTAAAATGATATATAAGAACTTTATTAGTTTTTTTTAATCATTTTCATCTTCATTTGAAAGTTTATTTACACTTAGACTATTCTAAATCTCTGTTTTCGTTGTTTTTTTATGTAAGTTGAAATCACAAACTATTGAGTAACAAAGTTTGAGTTTTTTAAAGACGAATTAATGAAAAACGGTTGATAAAAATCAATGATTTACTGATTAAATAAACAAGCATATTTATGCTTTCATACCCTTTAACAGTGCAATCTAAATAGTTAATCTCGCAAATTTCATTGCATTTCTTTGTCTACAAAAAGATCACAAGATTACTGGTCTTTATTATCTTTCAAATAAACCATTTTCGTATCTTGCCAAAATTGACTTTCAGTTATTTGCCACAGAAATAAATCTTACTGATAAGATTGTCGATTATACTACTGTTGACTTATATACAACAATCAGACGAACGTGTTCATAGGGATTTATATTACGCTCGTCACTAAGAACGCTTGAAGCTATTACGAGTTCACCTTGGTCGAATAAAGAGAACGAACAATGAACCAGCCTCCAGGTAGGCAGGCTACTGTGATTCCTTGACCAAATTGAATCAGCAAGAAGTCTTGATATAGTGTAGAAATTGTATTTTACAAACACCCAGCCAGCACATAATGAATCCAAGCACTCAAATTGCGTTTATTTATACTCTATAGAGACGTCCTTGGGAAAGTCACAAAAATAGCACACTAAAATGACACAGTAACCAATCACAGCCAAGGATTTTCCTGGTGGGAAATGTGATTTCAAGGTCAGCTGATCAGTCCATGAAATAAATCCAAAATAAAGATATTTATCAAGTGAGTTCTGGGGATGGAACTTCCTCAACAATTTATCCTTTGGAACAACAATAAAATTTGCCAAATGTGAAGCATTACGCGTAATGTGAATAATAAATGAATCATTCAAAAAATGTTGATCACAAACAATGTCACCAGTTTCGGTTTCCCATACATTAATAGCTGTTTTTTGATAAACAAAGATATTTAGATGAAGAATACTTATTTTTTGAGTTAACTTTGAAACTGAACTATGTGATTTCAGAAAACATTGACTCTACTATTATAATTAACTAGTCATCCCGGTAGTATTTTGCAACTCACTCATAAAAAGAAATTTTGAAAAGATTTTCTGAGATATTTTTTTTGTACTGGAAATGCATTTCATAAAATGTGATAACAACAAATACTTTTAAATAATGATAACACTGATATCAAGAATGAATATATTTTTAACATTGAGTCAGTAAAAATTTCAGTTATTATACAAAAATAACTTAACATTCAGAGTTTGTACGTTTTATGAAAAAACATAAACACATGATCTACTGAAATGAGTTAAAGGAACATTTACCTCAGGTAGTTCGACTATTCCGAAATTTTGGGGCAGCAAGCTATTATTTGTTATAGATAACCGAGTAACTACAGTTTCATGGATTTCAGCACATCCAAAGTTAATTGGATTGGGAGATAGCACCAAATCTGTTGTTGTAATAACAGCATCAACAATAAGCTCCAATCTGTTAGTTTGGCCAACAACATGAACAATAACTGGTACTTGAAGTACACCTGTTTGTGAATCGTATGATAACTTTGAGAGATAACTTTCATTCTCACTTTCTGCAACGGAATGACTGTTGTCTGAATCGCAGAAATGTGCAAGATCATCGGATAAACTGAGTTTTGGCAACAGTTTAACTTGAGCTAGTAGTCGACTTTCAGCCTACAAATCCAAATCATATATATATATATATATATATATATATATATATATATATATATCAGAAAAACTTTAACCTAAGCAACAATTAATAGCAACAAATTAAATTTGTTAGTCTGTCAGGGTTTTAGATAAGTTGTTCGTATGTAAAGCTTAAAATATTTAGTACTGAAGCTCATTAGTATGAATAGGGAACTGTGTTTTGATCCTTTCTGAGTTGTAATCAGATTTACAAAGCAATTGAAGTAACTTTCTGAGTAGAACCGTTAAGAAAAATCAGTAAAACTGTATAACAGTAAAGCGATATGGGAACAATATATCTGAATACTCTCCAGTTTATTTAGCAAACATACTCTTTGTAAACACAAATTAATGATCAGAACAGAAATAAAATCACTTGTAATCAGTCTATATCTATTCATGCTGCCATAAATAATGGATGAAAGCGAACAGGAAGTTCGTGGCTATTGGGATTCTTATTTGATTGTGATTTTTAACTCATCAATCGCCTTGACTGTTTTAATATTTTGACATTAGTGTTCATGTATATCAGATTAAAGCTTAATGACAATCTAATTCAAAACAGTATTGTTCACTTATATGTGTTGATTCTCATAGTGTTATTTTTAATCCTAAAAATAATTTGTAACTAACTTATAACTTTATCAAACACTCCTTGTAAGTATTTTGTACACTCATAACTTTAATTTACGAATGTTGTAATTCACGCTTCATAGATTGCTGAAACTGTTGATTTCTTTTAGCATTGACAAAAACCAATATATATGTCAAGTTTTTTCTACATGAAATGAAAATAAAAATATCTAACTTAAGTCAAAAATCATACTTGAACAAAACCAGTTTTAGGTAAAACTTTTAGGTGATTTGAAATTTCTTTATGAACTTCAAATATAACTTTTATAGCAGATTTTGTTCTATTGTGTACAGCAAAACATTCTTGATAAAGTCTATCAAACCAACAAATTCCCATAGATAAATTAGATGTTGATAACCATACTGGAACATTTTTAGGAAAACCAAAAGTATGTATGTAAATATCTGAACTTTCAGGATCATCAAAACTAATAACAAATTGTTCTTCTTCCATGGCACATTCGTTAATATCGATGGAAATATCGTTAGGACTCCAAATAATTTCTAATTTAACTGAAGAGAACGGTGCTAAATATCCCGACTTTAATTCACCAGATTTAAAGTTAGAGGAATATTTGTTAGATGCAAGGTGCACTTGATTGTTTTGGTGATATTCTTCCGCTGTTAAGAAATTAAGCAAATAAACGTCCATAATTGATATCGGAATGGTTTCAGTGCAAGTTTTATTAGCAACACAATGATAAAATATCAAAATACACAGAGTATGTGTCTGATTGTTTTTGAAAACTATAGTTTTGATGGTTTCTTTTTTAATGGAAGGTATTATTTGAAGAAAAATACAATACCTTTGAGCATATGAATTGAACTGTGAAATATATGTTCAATGTAAGAAAAAACGAAAGTGTTGAGAATTGTTATTTTCATTTCATTAGCCTAACGAGATCAATATATTCGTTCATGAACTTTCAAAATTGTTTCTAAGTCTGAAAGAAAATTGAGAAGCGAAAGTATTCTCACTAGAATATGTGAGCAGTGTAAATGAAAAACGAAGTTTTTTTCCGGAAATGTATCATTCTTACAATTCAAAAGCTTCGTTAATTTAATTTGCCTCAATAAAATGTACATTTGATTAGCTACTAGTTAGAGATTAACAAAATGTTAACTACATTTTGACATTAAGTAGGTTTAACCCCAGTGAAGTACCGTTTGATGAAGATTTCAGAAGGCTTCATCAAAAGACTGTAAGTAAAATTCTGCAGTAAGCACTTCTAATGAATTAGATATTGGAATTTTGGTGTACATAAAGGAAAGTAAGAAGGAATTATTACTTCGATTTTGGTAAATCATAGTATTTAAGGTTTGAATAAACTATAATTGCTAGTTTTAATTCTGTTTGAAGTCACGTAGTTTATGCCAGAATAAAAAAATATTTACCAATGGCTGTCGGTTTTGTAATAACGTGTGTGATAATATTTCGACAGTATCAATCTTCAAAAACCATCTCAAAGTTTCATAGAGGTTATAATCACTGAGAAGAAACGGATTCTGTGTTTGTCTGTTCTTTAGAACTTGTGAAATATGTCAAACGAGCTATACTATGTCCCCTACTGTAAATGACTTGAGATGTTTTGCAACAGATTTTGACGTTAGGAGGTTACTCCTACTCCATAAAACTTATGGATTTTCTGAAATATTTTTGTCTTGATGATACTTAAAACGTGAAGTTTTTTGAAGCATCCAACCTATAATCTATGGTCCTCAGAAAGAAAGACTTTCATTTGTCATAGTTAAACAGAAACTGCTAAACTAAAATCAGCGTAGTAGTATCTATCAGATTTTAAATGTCTTCTCATTACCGCTTCAGTAACTTGAACAAGTAAACCTATTTTTATGACAAACATGTCAATAAGAATTACCATGTATACTCAGAATTTCTTTTACAGATTTCGATTTGAGGAGCTTCATTTGAACGTTATAACTTGTAAAGCTAAATTTATATTTTGACAAACCGAGTATATTTATCAATGATACAAATTATAGTTTTATTATCATTTCATATCAACTTAGAGATTACTTGATAGTCCGTATAAAGTCATAAGAATAACACGTACAAAACTTGTTTAAGAAAATATAAGAAAAAAAGTACAATTAGCTGTAAACATCTATCTTCTCGTTTAAGTAATAAGATCATATAGTGTTTAGAATAAATTAACACAAGTTTACGCAAAACTACTCACTATCACATCGAAGAATGCTATCATTTTCTCTTTCCTGCGATGTACCAGCTTCATTCTTTAAAAGGTAAAAGTGTACATACAATCCGATTGAAACGCTTTAAATTAACTCATTGTACAATAGTTAAATAATTGATAGTCACTTTAATGTTGAAAAGATTATTTTGGGGCAGAGTTTTGGAGGTTTGTTTTTTTACACATTTGAAATCATCAATCAGTCATTGTTAGACCACCATTAGAAACCTGGAAGCACTGGACGGCCGTTTCGTCCTGGTATGGGACTCATCAGCAGTGCGCATCCACGACTCCTGCACCTCGCAAGATTCGAACCCGGAACCTTCAGTAATGTGCGCGAACGCCTAATCATCGGACCACTGGGCCGGCATCCAAAGGTGTAAATGAAAAGATTATCTTAGTATATGAATAAGAACAATGCAACTAACTTCAAAAAGTAGCTAATCTGTTGCATCTTTTCCTTTTACTTTATTGCTTAGCTGAAATGACTAATGTGATTTATTTTCTTGCAAGAAACTATCAACCTAATTTTCAATAATTTAATTTTCTACTTGCGATTTCTAAAGAGAATGGAATTTTCACTTACTACAAGTGAATGTACACTCCACCTACTACACTATGACTTTATGGGAAATTGTCGCTATGATATATAAAGTTCATCATGTTGAAAATACTTTAGGACCTTTTGAAATAATAAACAATGTAAACTAAAATGCTCTAACATACAGCTTAACAAAGTGGTACATCAATCATATGTCAACATTAAATTGACTAGCACAAAACGTTCTACTGTTTCAAAATAAGTAGTATGAATTTACTTAGTAAATAATCTCTACAACTACCTTTTCAATAATATTCGTTTCATTGAACTTAACTGATTCATCGACAGGGTTCATCGCATGAATAGTTTCTTGTGATGGTTCTTTAATGTTTTCGCTAGAATTTTCCTTGTAAATCTCGGATATTGCGTTGAAAGTAAATTTAGCACCTTTTGCTCCAGAATTAAGCAGTTTAATACTTCGACAGGCAGTTTCACCAATAACGACCTCACCAAAGTTTACGGTATTACAGTCTATGGAAAACTGATAAGAAACACGAAGATGCTTGAGATAACTGACACCAAAATACGAATACTTTTATGTGAATCATAGTTTGGAATCAGTTTCAGTTGTTCAAGTATTTTTGATTTTGTTTCTCCTCGAATCGTAGATTATGAAATAATTTCAAGCCTTTGACTTTTTTTTTAGCACAACATTTCTGATCATAACAACCATTTACATTATCGTTTTGACTCTATAAGGTTCTCATAATCTTAAACGCTACCCTTATTATATCGATTTCTGTTGTAACAAATCGGGTCAGTAAACTTTTTTATACCAACTTCTCAACTTTTCTCATTTTAATAACAAAACTGTGGAATGAACGAAATAAACATTTAATCATGAAATGTTTTCTTGGTGTAAATGAGTTTCATATTTTCAACAAAGATTATTCCTATTTTTAATGTTGATTCTGTAAAATAAAGCTTACATTTGTTTATGTGATGTTCAATACGATGATGTGAAAAAAGGATTGTTTCATCAGAATGATACTCCAGTGAACTTAAATCTGTCTACAGTAGCGCTCAAATATAACACTCACTCACTCTTACTTCTGTGAAAAGATTTGTGAACGCTAGCACAAAGAATATGATTAATATTTTTCAGTCAATCACAGTTATTCACTGAATTGCTTTGAATTATCTGTAGGAAAGTAAAATTTTTCAATTAGCTCGTTGTTTATAAAAAACCGTCGAAGTATAATTCTAGTTGCTTGTTTTACTAATGTAAAAAATGAACTTACCTCGCATTTTTTCACAGTTGCTTTAAATGGAATAAAGAATGGTCCAGTAGGAGATTGAAATTCTAGTTCACCAGATAAATTTTTGTTCATTTTCGGAGTAAATTTGATGTGAACCCAACAATTCATTCCAGGCGAAAGCATACCTGGTGGAATAAACCTGAAGTATCATATATTATGAAGTACAACTTATATTTTGGTTTCCTTGTCTAGAAAAAAGAATTGTCCAAATTTCAATTAAACATTTATATATTTAAGGGATTTTTAGTTGTGTAGCTATGTAAATGATTTATATCCTCTGATCGATCAGCAGATATTAAATTAAAAACTTCAATTACGAGAAATGAGTAAGGTCATTAGTTTCAATTTCATAGGATGGAGTACTACGAATTGCTGTTTTACTACAAACTAAAAAAACCTGAATTATAAAAATTCTCAAGTACAACTTTAATCCGAATATTCCAGAATTTTCAAACGAACAGTGTGCAGAACAAAAGGCTTTGAAAATAGCATCTTGTGGTTTCTTGGAAAAAGACTAATTTGAGAAAAATCAGACTTTATAATTACTTGTTAAACATTTTGTTACTGGTCATTTTATTTTGAAATCAATAAAATAATCTAGTTCATAAAAAAATAAATTATGGTATAATAATAGATTTCGTGTTTGGTAACTACAATACTGTGATAATAATGAGATTAGAAGATTTACAGTTGGTTAATTATTACGTTCCCTCTATCTCCGTTTATCTAATAACAATACAAGCATATTGAGCAGTATCTGGCTCTTCTATCTCACACGCAACAACAAATGCAAGAGAAGACGACCAGTGTAGCAGCAGACCCGGCAGCAGCAGGTCTCAACATACATAAACAAAACAGCAAGATTCTTCAACCCAACACAATATGTGCCAACCGTATTACTCTTAATGGATATCTTGGAGGACGTTAAAACCTTCGCATATCTGGGTAGCATCGTTGACAACCAAGGTGGATCGGATGCAGATGTGAGGGCGCGCATCGGCAAGGCAAAGATAGAATTTCTAAAATTGACAAACATCTGAAACTCAAAATAACTATCAACTAACACCATAATCAAAATTCGCAATGCAAATGTCAAGACTGTTCTACTATATGGAGCGGGAACTTGGAGAACTACCAAAGCCATCATCCAGAAGATACAGGTATTCATTAACTGTTTTCGACGCAAAATACTTCGGATTCATTGGCTCAACATGATCAGTAACAACCTATTGTGGGAACGAGCAAACCAGATTCCGGCGGTGGAGCAAATCAGGAAGAAGAGGTGGAAGTGGATAGGACACTCACTGTGGAAAGCACCGAACTGCGTCACAAGACAAGCCCTCACTTGGAGGCCTCAAGGAGAAACGAAAAGAGAATGATTAAGAAACACAATACGCTGAGAAATGGAGACAGACATGAGAAGAATGAATAAAAATCGGACAGAACTGGGAAGGAGGCCCATGACAGAGTCGTTTGTAGTATACTGGTCGACGGCCTATGCTCCACTGGAGATAACATGTGAAAGTAAATTCAATGAGTAACTTATTGGGTAGAAGTTAACTTTGTATTCATGTAACTGACTAACATAACTATTGTAATAACTCTCGGAGATCCAGTTTTAGACGTTTACGTTACAAAATACTTCGTATTGAATAATATATTGACATAGTTCTTGTTTAGTATGTTAAAGGATTGAGATCAAGAGTAGGTACTTTGAAAGCATAAAGTTGATGTATATAAGACGTTTTCGAATTTTTGCCAGATGGTGAGGATAAATCAATGTTCAATATACAGAAGGAAAGTCAGTTCAACTAGATACTATAATACATTAAAGAATAAAAATGAAAAAAATTAGCACATTTATGTATTTATTTATAAAATAACTTTTAAATGATTTCTTTATCTTCAAATGAAAGATAATTATCACATCACATCTTCTATGAACATATTTCCGTGAAAGTCAGTCGGAATAAATAGCAACTAATCACTTTTAAGTGATAAGAAAAGTTACAGACAGCATTACACTACATGAATAATTTTATGCTTAATCAAATGAAAATAACTTACTTCACATCTACAAAATCCATTAGAGTTGATGTTATGCCAATATATCTACATGTACTTATAGCATATGAAGCATTAGTTAGTGTAACTTTAATTTTTTGGGTCTTGTTCACTTCAATGTTCTGAAATTAATAATATGCAGTAAAAGGATTTGTATTTTTTTAAAAAGAATTTTCTTGAACATGAATGATCAGTATAGATACGTAATCAAGAGAAAAAGAAACAACCCGAAATTGGACATATTTTTTTTTACTTAAAAACAACAGTTTCATTCATAAAGTGAAATTGTATGCTGAATCCTGAAGTATGACCATATAACTCGAAGTTTTCAGTCCATTTGTAAAGGTGGTTGCTGTACTGCATACATTTAGCAAAAGATTACGATTTGTGGAACGAGCTAAGATTAATAGGATGTAAGCGTTTGCAACTACAAGATATTCTAAGTTCCCTGTGGTGCGGAAACTTGGAGAACTACGGAAGCCATCATCTATCATCCATATAACGTTAATGGAGATCATTTCAATGAAACATTATTATTTATGAGGCTGAAAAGATTTTCATCATTCTTGTTTTAACAACAATCAACAAATTTATTCTTGAAATATTTGAAGACTAAATAATAACGAAAATAGCAGATAAATAGATTATTTTAACCATCATAATTCAGTGATCGAAAACTAAACTAATAATATTTTTACCCTAATTTATATAATAGACTCACTGTAACATTTAAAAAACTTACCGAACAGAAGTAATAATTACACATTTTTGAAACCATGAATCGATCAATGTTAGACCACCATTAGAAACCTAGAAGCACTGAACGGGCGTTTCGTCCTGGTAGGGGACTCCTCAGCAGTGCGCATCCACGACTCCTGCACCCCGCAGGATTCGAACCCAGGACCTTCAGTATTGTAGGCGAACGTCATCCAGTGCTTCCAGGTTTCTAATGGTGGTCTGACATTGATCGATTCATGGTTTGAAAAATGTGTAACTTAACAATCTTCACAACCCCCTAATGCAGAAGCAATGATTGCCTACTTGTGATTATGTTGTGCAATTATTTTATAAACCACGATAAACAAATGTTTACTGCTACAACAGTTGTGCTTTTGCTGGTAGGCTTTTAGAAACATTTCTTTCGAATATGTTCGAGAATTACTGATTTTAGGATTACAGGATGACAAATTTACTTCATAGTACTGAGTTAAGTGACTAACAAAAGTGAAATTCACAACAACAATACATATGTAACTCATTCTATGAAGTATACTAACCTGGAACCATATTTCTGCTGGTTTCGCTGTAAAACTTGGACCATCAAATTTTCTTCCTGCCACAATTTGTGGTTGTACAATGTTTTCACGGGTTTGTTGAAGCACACGTCGTAAAATTTCCTGGTGTAATATTGTGATCAAACAAATTCAGATTATGAGGATACACCGATGGATTACTAATTAGGAAGAAATATGTTCCTCATAACGTTTCCGTTGTAGGCTAAGAATATCAAAAAATCTGTTTCCACACACCTCCTATGTTTAAATAACCTTAAGTTTACTCGAGTTCGCTATTTGGTGAATGAAATATGAAGTTGTGTCTACACCAAGTAGGTGCGCATTGATACATATCACTGGTGGAGGATTGAAAAATTGTGTAACACACTAGAAGTTCAACAATTATCGATTCCAAGAAGCTAAACGAAAAGTACTAACAAAACTTTATAAATCCTGTAGTTTTTTAAGTGATTAATTAGCCACAAATTAGTGTCATATTATGAAAAATTTAAGCTATTTTTAAAAACAAAAATATACTTTCATAAAATATTTGTATGTATATTTTGTGTAATTAGATTGCACCTAAAAAAAGGTTTCGACCGATGAAAATTTCAACATAACTCTATATAGTCATTTCAAAACTAAACGAAACCATAATTCAACTCACAGAGATTAGTAAAATTCTTTGCATTAAAATATATCAAACAAACTTGTCTGCATATTTCCAAAAGTTTACTTGAATAAATAAAACTTCGTGAACCAATAAAAATAATAGGAATAGGGCGAAATATACATGAATAATAATTTACATAAATCCAAATAATAAAACAATTAAACAATGACTTATTTTTAGAGGGAAGTATTTTTCCCAAGTAAACGTTATAGCAACGTTAAGCAAAGTGTGTATGCATTAATACATGGATATGTTTATTTACCTTTTCAGCTTTAGAATTCCTTTCTGAATGATATGTTTTATAGTTAGTACGTTCTTCCTTGTCGTAAGTTGCATTGTCGATTTCAGATAGTTTTGTAGATGATCTGTCAGTTAACTTCTGTAAGACACGATTTGTTGCAATAGTCATGACATCGTTTTTAACAGATGATGGTCTAACTGTATCACGAGTTACTAAAATTCATAAAATCATTAAAGGTATTATTATTTCGTAGTCTAGTCGAAATTGAGGAATTTTATTCGATTACTTTCAGGATCTGATTCGTCACTAATTGCCCAAATATATATACATAAATACATTACCTGTCTAGGTACTTCATTATGACTAAAAGCTTTTGAAACTCGTTTGATTGTTTACATAGTAGGCAGTTTGGTTCCTTAGAGAAACAGGATAACCAATGTTTTCGTTAAGCAAGTATGAAATAATTTTTCATGAAAAATACTATTTGAATAGAATATCTGAAAAATTAATCAATAATATTACATGATTAAATGATCCAATTTCTTACATTATTACTGTCACTGTGTTATTCACAAATTTAAAGGCAGAATCAAAGTTGCCCATCTAGCAGGAATTTAGGATTTCTAGAATGATTCCGACACAGCTGCAAAAACCGACTTTGAAGTAATCAAATTGTTCTGCTCTTAGCTAGATAATGCTTATGTATACAAACTTTATCCAAGAGAGAGAAAACACACAGCAGCACATTTGGAGCACCGAAAAACAAAGAAAAATATCGGACGACTATCTTTCGCAAGTGTAGTTTTACACGCAACTTCATCATAGATTATCAACTGAAGCTATCAGCGGAAGCGAAATCAAGTACAGGAACCAACAAACATATCATTCCGTCATATATCAAATACATCGGAAGTTACAGCACAACTACTGATGAAACCATTCGGAATAGGTGAAGCACACAAACCAACACAATCACTCCAATCAATCCTGTTCAGACCAAAGGGCAGAATGACAAAGAAGAAAAACAAAACATCATCTAAAGTTAAACTGTTCAAAGTGCAATAAGCACTACATTGGACAAAGCGGATGTCCTCCTCAACTTCGTCTACGTGAACATCAATTAGCAGTCAAACACAATGAAATTTCTCCCCTTACATCAATACATACGGACAACTATAAGCATAAATTTGATGGGAACAGTGTTGAAATACTGGTTAGAGAGAGTACAAAGAACCTTCGTGAATTTTCAGAAGTTTGACATTAAAGTCGAACAGCAATTAACAAACACATCGACATTGACCCAATTTGTCAACAAATCAGAAAAATCATAAATAAGCATAAGTTCAAGATAGAGAACGAAGGGGAATACAATCAAAATGAAGGTGCAGACAATGACATTTTTAAGGTCAATAACCACCAGTCAAGATCGAGTTTAACAGTACAAGCTACGGATCATACATGGAGAAATTCGCATACTTGACTTCTATTTGAAGTTTATGTTGATGATGTTGTTCAGAAGAACAGAGAAAGCTTTAGCTCAGAGAACGAAATTCCACTATGATTATATACAAACATTCATTTTTGCTAAAAATGCTGAAATCAAATTAAATTGAAACTTAGAGTGTCAGACGAACTGAACAATGTTTACAATGTTTACCAACCTTAGATTTCAAATATAAAATGAACCAACAAGTTCCAAGTAAACATCTACAAGAAATGGCTTTAATTTAAACTACTGTAGTTGTTTGCTTTTGAGAACTTTGAAAAATAGAAAACTAGGTTTCCATTCCCATCAAACGTTGGAAATGAAATTATGTCCCAGTAAATAACACATTACTTAAGAATCACAAAAGTTGACTTATTGAACATGATGAGAAGAAAGGATACTTTCAAAGAAATGACTTTATTCATCTTTAGTTTGTAAGGACACAGAGCTAATACCTAAGCATTTCACACCAATATTTACGGTATGCCAATAAGTTTACTTAAAATGTTTTCATTTACAGCTAACAAAGCCCCCTAGATCGATAACTATTTTACATCTTAAGAATGATAAACAATCACTTACGCAGCTGAATAGTTTTTTCGAATAATCTCTAATAGGTCACTGGATTTCAACAAATACAATGTATTTTTTAATTAAAAAGACTTAAGGTATGTTTTGACATTTCATTGAAGAAACCGGAGAATAATAAAAACAGTGATCAGTTGATTCAATAATCAAGTTGTATATTATTATCGAATCTTACTAATGCTTTTCAGAAGAAAAAAACAGTTTTTGACGCCACATGACAAAAATTCACAACATACCAAAATTACATATTGCTTGATTTACATTGTCTTCTGTAACAATATTCTGTTTCTTGAATGAATCTAATAAACTAGATTCTGAGACGTGGGACTGTGGTGAATATTTCTCATATTCACCATCGTTATCGTTGTTTTGTGCAGTTTCTTCAGAAAAATGGTTCATCAACGACTAAGAGTAAAAACAAGATTATCACAAATGATATTTGGAATAAGATAATAATATACATTTTGTTCATAGTAAGTGAATGACGGTTTTATAACCAGATTTGGTAAGGCATTATCTGGTCAGATATGAGCTTTGGAAGTGCTACACTCAACAAGCTCAATCACTTCAACATCCACTAAATCATCCTTCTGAGTTACAACGAATCTTTATTATGTCTAACTGTGACAATATTATAAAAGTCGTAGTTGAAATACAAAAATGTTTTTAGCATCATTTTTATTGATTGATTGATTTCCCCATCTTAGATAACATAACGGAATAAATAACTATTAGGTCTTTTCTTCTGAAGCTTTAGTGGAGAGGGCCATAACGCGGAAAGTTTTAGAAAGTGAATGACATGTTTTCAAAAAGCATCTCACAATTACAGCACTTCATTTTTGATTTTTTTTTCTGTATATTATTATGTAATAACTAAACTAAGCTTCATAAATTTGGAAATCTTGTATGAAATTTTCCATTATTTCACCAAGAAAATTATAAAAGAACTCAAGAATATAATCCACTAGTATACAACAAAAAAATCTATGATAAAACAGTTCATAGTAATGTAAACGATTTATCAGAGTGTATCTTTAACGAATCCCTTTGATAATAATAGGTTTAAAGTTGATGAATACATACTATTGACTAATTATAAACTTTTCAGAAAGGTTAACCAGTTTCTTAATCAAATGAAAGCATCCTTACATTGGTTATCACAATATTAAAAGGGCAGCCAGTTCAGATAAAAGGTTTAGAGTATTTTATAAAGATGAATGAAATCGATGAGTAACTGAGTTATCTATTTATTCATATAGAAAAATTTATGCTATAACTTACATTTATCACTGATTCATCTTTACTCTGATGTTTTAAAAGTTCATCAATCATTTGTTGTTCAAGTTTCGATGGTTTTTCGATATTTTCTAAGTACTTATGATTTGAAATATGAAAGAATACATTTTTACCTACTTGAAAGTTCTTATCATTTTCATTTTGACTGGGGACTAGTGTGATAGATTTCATTTTCTCCTTTTGTAGAAGTTCTTCACGTAAAAGTTTTGCGATTATTTCCTTGTACTTTCTATTCTGTGACTCTCTGAAAGCACTGAAGATAATAAATTAAAAATGAAGTTTAAATTGTAGTTAAATTCTATGTAGACATGTTGTTCAATAAAAACAATTTGCTGTTGAAATCTCATAACTAATAAGTAAAGATATATTTAATAATCAGTGGTTTATAGGTGAATCCTGTCTGAAACTTTCAATTGAAAATTTTTAGTAAGCATTAATTTCCTACTGAAAAATGGCGAAATTGTAATTATGATTATGGTCTATAACCTAATATTTGTTGAAAATGTGGTATGAGGGAATCGCTTATTCCGATTGAATAAAAGATTATCAGTGCACAAAAAATCATCCTCAGAATCTATTTTTGTTGAAATGATAAAAGCCTTACTTCACCACGTAAATCAGGATGATGAGAAGTTTTTGACAGTCATACTGTGGTGCGAGCCACCTATAAGTAGTATATGACATGAGTGTCAACGTAATGTCTGGCAGCAGAAGATGGGGGAAGATCAAGAAAGGAAGAGTTAGAACACAATGGAATTTGTATGAAACGCATGAATAGTGACAATGGATTGATGCTTTGCAACAGGAACAGTCCAGTTCGATATGATGAACTGATATTTTGCAAATTAACGATTTACGATATGGTTTTCCGATTTTACTGAGTAACTCTGTAATTTCGGTTAAATACAATCCGGTTGCCCCACCTGTGTTCTCGTTCACTACAATACTACTTGGGTTAAATTGGATTACTCAAAAAATCTCAATCGAAATCGTATAATTAAATGAATAGTAAACTTGAAACCAGGTGTTTTAAATATCTTGAGATGAATATAATCTTATTTACCCAATAAAATACTTACTCTTGACAGGCTTCAATATTGGCTAGTCTACGGTGCAATGCTAACTCGAGTTTTTCATCCTTCAGATTTTGTTCTGCTTGGATAGATAAGGCTTTTTCTTCCAACAACAACGAATGTTGATTTGCTCTATGTTTGGCTTGCACAATGGCCATGATAGTCTGAAATAGACAAAAAACAATGTCAGTTTTTTTATAAAGTTGTATATTGGTATAGGTTTTAGTTTCCTACATCAATCTGGTTTGTTTAATCTTCATCTACTTAGTTTGCAAGGGTAAGAAACCGAAACTGCTTATCTTACAATTGCAATGTAATATTCGCATTAATCAGGGGACTGAATCAAATAAGTGATGCGACAAATATTGTTTTCACCAAGCTGAATATTCGATTGCATAAAAATGTCATTGATCGGAGTTAACAGCCCACTTTCAGTAGGTTGTTCATGTTAAAGTAAAACCTAAAATGACTTAATCTGAAAGGTTTTGAAAGTTGTTCTATTACCTGTTATCATGAGAGCTATTGGAAAAAAAGTAAAAAGATTAAAATATAGGTATTTTTGTGAACAGAACAGCGTCTGACTCAACACATAAGCTGAGAGACTACACGTTGGCGTGATAAAAAAACCGACTGTACAAAACTAAAGTAGCACTTTAAAGTTGTAACCAGAGGTTTAAAAAGTATATTCAGATATTTAGTTTAAAACATGTTTCAAGTTATAATTTATGTGGATTAGGTTTCAAAAAAATTAAGTCAGATACAAATCCAGACCAAATATTTCTTTGATTCAGGTATTGTAATAACGTGACCACAAGCTAATTACTTCTTGAGTCTTAAAAAATATATCGCATAATAAGATATATTATGTGAGTAACATAGGTTATAAACATTTAAGATGACTTTTAAAAGCAGGGAGGAAACTAATATATTTATGTTAGAAAGTAATTAAAATATTTCCTGAAATATTTTCTACTGATCTGATAAACGCATGTTTGAATCTAGAAACTTTATCAAGGTATCATTACAAAGGTCCAACTTGGTAATTTGAAGTAAATTTAGTATCCAGTAGATTGTTATTAATAAATCATTGACTTATCTGAAGTATTACAGTGTATAAAAAAATTATATTTTTGACGTAACGAAACAGCGCAGGCTACTTTTTTAGATTAAGAAAATAAATAAACTAATCAGAGTACCACAAGTTTTAATAACCCAAATGCAGAAGAAAGATGCCTAGTACAATGGAAAACGGATCTAATCAAAACAATATCCAGTCAAGATGATTTTCGCGAAATAAGCATGCGTATTTGCGTGCATAGTGGTGGACGTGAACGTAATTATCGAGCTTCTTGGATTTCACTGTTGATCGCATTTTATCTGTTCTACATAGCATTTAAAAGTTGTTCATAATCTTCAAACAGAAATCCAAAAAGCATGAAACCAATCTATTCAAGAAATTACTGAGTTTTATTTTATTTAAAAAACCACCTAACATTTTTGGAATCTTCGCAATTCTAAAGCTGCCAATTTAGCAACTGACAGAAAGGCAACCTCAATCACTATTTCGATAAAAGTTTCAATTCTGACAAACGTCTCAAATGACAAACAAAAACTCTTCAAATTTTTAGATTAATGAAAAGGTAAGAGTGAAAAGAGAATGTATATTGGCCTATTTATATGTATACAATATTGCCTCTTAGAACATCAATCGGTTTCTTAATTAATGGTATGAACTTGTTCTTTAGGATGATTCTAAATGGCGCCAAGTGACTTCATGCACTTTATAATTGTTAAGGGGTTCGCTCATGATATATGGCCCAGTTATTACATGTTCGTTGTCTGAACATCCATCTAGCCCTGATATTTGGCTCCTCTTCAGATCTTAACTGCAAAATCAGCGGCAGATGCTTCTTCCTTGTAGACTTCATACGGACTTTAGAAAAACTGAAACTAAATATTCATTTTATCAAGACTATAATTATGCACATAAATACATCTACTTCATTTGGTTTTGACACTACTAAACATAATTTTAGGTTCCATAACGAACGTCTTACTGTTTATTTTGTTTATCAAAGAGGACATGTAATGCATGTTTAGTCACATATGCACTATGAGAGAGATATTCAGTAATTAGGAATTCATTCTATGAGTAAGTGAATTGGCTTTAATGTGGGAAATTGAGAAGAAGGTTTAATTAGTCCCGTAAAGCATGCTATTAACTTGATAATTTTAACTGTATTCTTTCCTATTGGTAACTAAGATACTTCATTATAAAACCGAATAGACAATTTCTACAAGCGAAACTCTTACTGACTTTGGAATCCTCGATTGATGCTTTTAGTGCTGCAGCGGACCTCATCTTTCTTTCAACGTCATCACATTTTTCTGAAGAGAATTGAGAAATGTCCCTGGAAGTATACATGAATGTACGAAATCTCACTTGCAACCTGCAGCATTATGCTTCCGCTCGTTTGATGTCAAATTATCGATAGCCCAACCCTTAATATTACTTCTAAGGCATTTCGATTTTTCACTTGCTTCCAGCTTTTCTTTCATTTTGTGAGTTTGACCAAGGCATCTTTTAGGTTTTTTTGTCACAAGTGACTTAAATGGATTGGAAAAATCACTGGGGTCATTTTCACCTTCTTTATTGTTGAGAGACCTCTGAATCTGTAAGAGTGATATATCATATCTGAAAATTTGCGAGGAAGTGCTGTGATTACTCTAGATTATTAAGATTTTTCTCAATGTCGCATTTTAGTGAGTGCACGTGTTGGATTTCTGAGTTAAGACAAGTAATGCGATTTTTCAAGAGCGACAGGCTAGCGTTTGACCCATCTTTCAGTTTTTTTGATATCTCTTTTTCTTCTTCGGTTAGTTTGTTGATCTGGTATTCTGAGATTTGCAGCTCGTTTCTGCTTTTACTTTATAAGATCATAACTATAACATACTGCAGTATCGATTTTTTGGTATTTTTATTTTGAATTGCGATATTTATATCCGGTTCTGTGTCAGAAATGCCCCTGTTTGCAGTTTCCTCATCAAGGATCATAGTGGAACTTTAAATACGTCTTGTTATGTTGTTATGAACATTGACGTATTTAAACAGTATCACAAGGTCATGCCTTACAGTCCGAACAAAATGTTTATAATAAAAACTGTAGGTCTGTCAGGATGGCGAAGTTACTTTTGCGGTAATTCACTAAATGGAACTGAGGTATGAGGTGGTGCACACGCAGTCTATAGACAAGTTGTTTGCAACACAGGTATGAGGTCAATGAAATCCGGAAGTCAAAACCCATTGCAATGAAATTTTGAATGCCATATAGTGTTCATTTGAAGCTTGGTGTATCATCTGACAGCGCAATAAGCAACGACCTTTGTGTCCAAATAGAGATGAACCTCATTTTTCTGTATGGCATCAGTACTAATTTAATCCTGCGAGAATCTCTTTGTATAGCAAAGTAAGAAACCCCAAGAAAGGTTCAAATTTCACAGCCTTCAACCAAGTCTAGAATCCAATGACCATTATCTTTTTAACAAGCTAGTGTGAACCATCTGATTTCTCCGCGCACGATTCTTGAGCTTTCGTTAGAGTCCCAGGTGTTTGGTAGTGTCCAGTGGACGGCCACTAAACAGAGATAATAAACAAGATAGATTAGGTTAGCAATCTGAGGAGATAGCAAGGCATGCATCAGGCACAGCGTATCCACAAAGGAGATCATAATCTGTATGTGAGTACATGCTTATTCACCCTTTTCTTACGGCTGTTCACTGAGAAGACTATGGTCATCTCCGCTGAGAGAGTACTACATGTTGCAACGACTTTATTAAGAGAAAATGTTCACAAACCTGAGTGTTTGCCATTCGATGCGCAGCTTTTCGAGGATTACCTCAGAAGAGTAGAGGTTGTGCATCAGCAAGGTGCTCACGTTTGGCTTGACTATTTTGTTGGATGCCATAATGAAGTCACCTCTGATCCTCCCGTAACTCAAGAGTAATAATCCCAAATGCTGGAGTCTGTCCTCGTAAGTTTTATCTCGCAACCCTATCACCCGTTTCGTTGCTCGTCTCTGCACTCGATCCAATAGATTTATGTCTCCTTTAGGGAAAGAGGGTGCGACGACGGTGAGAACCTCAAGGTGTGGGCGCGCATATGCCTTGAACAACATTGAGAATAATTGTAGGGTGATAGCACCACGTTGTATTCGCATAAAGCGAAGTGTTGAATCCGTATTGGCTGCGTAGCAAATATAGTTTGAAATAGGGTCAAATACAAACTAAAAAGGGAAGTGAGACGGTTTTAAAGTAGGCGTGGTTCTAAATTTTGAATCAAAGACTTTTCTAGTGATACGAGATAGCATAGGATTTAAAGGAAATGTTTTCTGTTCTCGTGTCTCTGCAGATCGATAAAAATTAATAAAACTTATTTTACAGCTGTAAGATGTCACATATTTGCATACGAAGCTGATATATATAACTAATATAGCCCAACTGCTTCAGCATTCGTCAACTTATTCGAGTAGAACAAGGATAGCTGGACCTATCTAATGTCGAATCCACACTTCGTCTTTCCAATACTTAACACTGATCACACTGACGTCGTGACCATGTAACTAGATATAAGGAAACACGTATCACTTATATTCATTGTCTTCTCTTACCAACATCCCAAGCCATTCATGTCTTATGTGTGCAGTGGGAAAGTCGAAAAAACGGATTATTTCTATGTAGACGGATTGATTTTCAGTCCTATTCTTACTTACGATATTCTACCCAAGTCTGTAAGGTCTTGCTAAAACGTGTATTCTAAGTAGTAGGCGTGTTGAACTTTTTGCTGAACGGAAACAGACTTTAAACCAGCTAGTGTGCCCGCTTAGACCAAATTCGTTTGAAGAAGGAGAAGCATCCAAGATTTATCCTGGGAGTCCAAATGTTGTGCCTCAAATGCGTTTAACTTCAGACGCAGGCATTCACTACATTGCAAATTCCGATTAATATGGGAAGAAGAGAGTCAGTTTGATGTGATACGTTAACGGCTAAGAAGGAGACTTTTAACTTTCTTTGAAATCGTTCTGCCAAACCGTTAGCTTGTGGGTATTAAGTTGTTGCTTGAAATCATGTGACTCCGAGTATGGTAGCAGCTTTCAGGAGTGTATCCACTGGCCAGCAAAGTCTTTCTGTCACTAGCTTAATGGTATCTTGAAGACCTTGATAATAACGTAAGCACACAATTATGTAGAACTAGCATCGATTTAGTTTTGGTACAATCCCTACATTTAGATGTGCCACGAAATAAAGCTATTAGAGTCTAGAAGGTCGATTCCTAGGAAAACGGTTAAAGAGATATCCACGACAACTACATTCTTTGTAATAGTAATGACTGTTAAAGACTGAAAGATTTAGTCTTACTCAAAGGGTTCGGAAGATAACTATTTGTTTGAGAAGTAGGTAAAAGAAAGGTTTAATTTTTATTTTCTCCGAGATTTTTCGACCTACTAAGTATATTTCGAAGTTCTTTGCAATACAAAATATTACCAGAAGTTCCCTTTCGGAAGTGCCACTGTCTTCAGAAGAGTTTTAAATATTACCAGGTATTGTTTACCTATTGCTTATCCTATAACTGTTGAATGGAACTGCTGCGAAACTGATAGGTGTTTTGTGTCGAGATGTGCTGATAAATTTGACTTGGCGAAACACCCCTTTACTGTGAAAGACAATTTCGTTATGGCGTCGTTCAATTCAATAGTTTTCTCACTGTCGTGTAGCTGGTTGGTTGAGGGTCACATGCGAACAATCGGCAGAAGCTTACCTTTACAATGAACACGCGCAGTAGGCTAACTGCAGCCGTTTTTGTGTAATCCAAAACGACGACAACATTTTTCTAGAGATCATATTTTTGAAGATCCACATGCTGGAGATGAAGTTTTATATCTGAAACTGCGATTAGACCGACTTCAATATCAGCATGCCTGAAGTCCTTCCAACTTAAAACGTTTTCAATGAGACTGAAAATTTTGAGCGGCGTTTCTCAAACTCAAAGCCATACACGAACATTCGTAGAGTTCGAATAATGTGACGATGGTCGTTTTAGGAATATTGGCCATATCCATACGGATTTAGTCATGATCTTTTAGTCAGAAAACTTTTGAGAAGACGAGTTTACCATACGTGCTAGATTTCAAGTCGTGAGTATGAGATAAAAGGTGTTGGTTTCATATTTAATCGCTGATAATCATCACCTGGATGACAGTCACAGCCTTTCTGTTTAGGATCTACGTGAGAGAGAAAAGGCTGATTATTTGTTAATGCATAATTGAGCAAAATCGACAACGGTAGGATGAAACTGTATAAACAGATTTCTATAAAAGCAAAACAGAGTTTTACTGTTAGGAGTAACGGTTCAGGAAGTTTAGATACGCGACTTACCCAGCTAATCCCGAAAGAATGGGATTTATCTGGGTAAGTAACGGTTCTGTTAATTACCATAAACATAATTACACAATGCTACATGTTCATTCCTCCCGCAATAACACAGAGTGTTTCCAATTCTGGAAGCGGTGCCAAATTTTGATTCAAATTACACCCTTCCAGGCTAGATAGACGTACCAGCCGCCGGAGAACCTAATTTCGATATGGCTGTCGCCATAATTAAGTATCAGTTTAAACAACATAATACAGTTCCGGAAGAAACATAGAATCTGTCAAAGGGTACAAAACATAGAATCTATAACAAACTACAAATTTTAACATCCCAAAATGGCATTAAAGCGACCACCAAAAATGTAGAACAGAAAGAATCAATAAGTACATATTACAAGTGTATGTATGGAGGGATTTTCCCAAACGAATCCTTCCAAAAAGGATTTTACACTTTCGTCCTCTTGAGTCAACTAACGGGTTATGGTAAGTCTATACCTACGTAAGTCCAGTTGATGGTTTCCAGTAAACTCACATGGGAGTCATTGTGCATCTTGCTGTCGGTGGTGTTCCGTTTTCGGTTTGCGTCATGCAGATTGACGACCGCATAGAGCAAACTTTCGTTTCTGTTCGCTGGCAGCATGTCGATGGTATGCCAAACCTTGATCTCCATGTCAGTGATGGGAAAGCAGCTTTGTTCACCAGCAGCGGCTGACGTTAACGCATGCGTGTGGAATAACTAGTCGAAATGTTTGTGATAGAATATTTCAGACTGAGGAAACATCAAGCTTCTGGAAGAATTCATATTGGAGTTGTAGTACCAAAAGCAATTTCTTTCATTGTTTCCTGTAGTCAAGAAGTGTATCTTTCACCCTATAGGCTTCAAGGTTCGCATTAAAATGCTCGCAATCGTGGTGAAGATTAGATATAGCAATTGAATTTCGAAGGTCTATGATCTCATGTTTTTTGGACGATTTTCGAAGATGTTTTGCAAATCCTTGGAAATTTTAAAAATTCTCTACTTTTTAGAAATGATAGACTCTGATATTCTATAACTTTCTGTCGGATCGTCGGTTTGGGAGATCATTGGCGACCATTCGATCATGCTTACTGTAGCCTACTCGGCAAAACGGTGT